GGGGGGATCACTCGCTGGAGGTGAGAGTTGGCCCCAGAGAGAGAGAGAGAGAGGAGAGGAGAGAGATCACTGGATTCCTGATCTCACAATCTTTTTGTGACTGTGTGTGTGAGTGACTGTGTGAGTAGAAGGGAAGGCGACATCACATCGCATCGCATCACACACTCTACGTGTGTGTTGTGTGTGTGTTGTGTGTGGTGTTGAGTGTGAGTTGTGTGTGTGTTGAGTGTGAGTTGTGTGGTGTTGAGTGTGAGTTGTGAGTGTGAATTATGCCCAGAAAGAAGCCGGGACCGATACAGCTGAACCCGACCCCCGATGGATCGGCGCTGAATGGAACCAATTCCACAGAGTAAGAACATTTTTCAATTCACATCGTAATGTCTGAAACCTCTGGAAACGGATGTTACACTGAGACTGAGAGACACTGACACTGACTGTGCGACTGTGACTGTGATCGAGAGGCGATGGGGTGTTTGTCGGAATGGGAAATGTATTGATTGTGTTGGGGGTTTGGGTGAGGGGTGTGTGTGGGGGGGTGGGGGGTGGGGAGAGAGATGGGGGGTGGGGAGAGAGATGGGGGGGGGGAGAGAGATGGGGGGGGGGAGAGAGATGGGGGTGGGGAGAGATGGGGGTGGGGGAGAGATGGGGGTGGGGAGAGAGATGGGGGGGGGGAGAGAGATGGGGGTGGGGAGAGAGATGGGGGTGGGGGAGAGAGATGGGGGGTGGGGAGAGATGGGGGGGGGGAGAGATGGGGGTGGGGGAGAGAGATGGGGTGGGAGAGAGATGGGGGGGGGGAGAGAGATGGGGGGGGGGAGAGATGGGGGGGTGGGGGAGAGAGAGGGGGGGGGGAGAGATGGGGGGTGGGGAGAGAGATGGGGGGTGGGGGAGAGATGGGGGTGGGGGAGAGATGGGGTGGGGGAGAGAGATGGGGGTGGGGGGAAGAGATGGGGGGTGGGAGAGAGATGGGGGTGGGGGGAGAGAGATGGGGTGGGGAGAGAGATGGGGGGTGGGGGAGAGATGGGGGGGGGGAGAGATGGGGGGTGGGGGAGAGAGATGGGGGGGTGGGGGAGAGAGATGGGGGGTGGGGGAGAGAGATGGGGGGGGGGAGAGAGATGGGGGGTGGGGGAGAGATGGGGGGGTGGGGAGAGAGATGGGGGGGGTGGGGGAGAGAGATGGGGGGGGGTGGGGAGAGAGATGGGGGTGGGGAGAGAGATGGGGGTGGGGAGAGAGTTGCGGGGTGGGGGAGAGAGATGGGGGGGTGGGGAGAGAGATGGGGGGTGGGGGAGAGAGATGGGGTGGGGGAGAGAGATGGGGGTGGGGAGAGAGATGGGGTGGGGAGAGAGTGGGGGGTGGGGAGAGAGATGGGGTGGGGGAGAGAGATGGGGGGTGGGGAGAGAGATGGGGGGTGGGGGAGAGAGATGGGGGGGTGGGGGGAGGATGGGGGGGGGGGGGAGAGAGATGGGGGGTGGGGGAGAGAGATGGGGGGGGTGGGGAGAGAGATGGGGGGTGGGGGAGAGAGATGGGGGTGGGGGGAGAGAGATGGGGGTGGGGGAGAGAGATGGGGGGGGGGAGAGAGATGGGGGGTGGGGAGAGAGATGGGGGTGGGGGAGAGAGATGGGGGGGGGGAGAGAGAGGGGGGTGGGGGAGAGAGATGGGGGGGTGGGGGAAGAGATGGGGGGTGGGGGAGAGAGATGGGGTGGGGGAGAGAGATGGGGGGGGGGGGAAGAGATGGGGGGTGGGGGGGAGAGAGAGGGGGGGAGAGAGATGGGGGTGGGGGAGAGAGATGGGGGGTGGGGGAGAGAGATGGGGGAGAGAGATGGGGTGGGGGAGAGAGATGGGGGGTGGGGGAGAGAGATGGGGGGGGGGGGGGGGGAGAGGATGGGGGGTGGGGGAGAGAGATGGGGTGGGGGAGAGAGATGGGGGGTGGGGAGAGATGGGGGGGTGGGGGAGAGAGATGGGGGGGTGGGGGAGAGAGATGGGGGGGGGGGGAGAGAGATGGGGGGGGGGGGAGAGAGATGGGGGGTGGGGAGAGAGATGGGGGGTGGGGGAGAGAGATGGGGGGTGGGGGAGAGAGATGGGGGGTGGGGGAGAGAGGTGGGGGGTGGGGGAGAGAGATGGGGGGGTGGGGGAGAGAGATGGGGGGGGGGGGGGGGAGAGAGATGGGGGGTGGGGGGAGAGAGATGGGGGGGTGGGGGAGAGAGATGGGGGGTTGGGGGGATGGGGATCAATTTATGATTGCAACTGGACCTGAAAGACTGTGCTCCTCTCTCTCTCTCTCTCTCCTTTCCCCTCTCCCTTTCACAGCAATAATCTCCCACAGAATGGCTGCTGTTTGGAAGCTACTTTTTCACCTCCCTGTAGCTTGTGGGAGGTTTGACTCTGTGTGTGTGTGTGACTTAGGGGGGATTTTCCTGCGAAGCGCTTTGAGACGTCTCAACGACGTGATAAGGCGCTGTATCGAATGCAAGGATTATTATCATTATTATCCTCAGTGATTGTGGAACTCCACCGCATTCAGAAGAGGAGAGGAGGTGGAAGGGGTGGGGATCTTGTGTGTGTGTATGTGTTAGCGCGTGTGGGGCAGGCAGGGGAATGGGGGGGGTGGGGGCAGGTTAAAGCGATCACCTATGATAGCTTTCAGGATAAGGGGGTCAGAACATTATATAAAACCGACTCCTTTTTCATCCGCCTTGAGGGCATCACTTCTAGGCGCTGGGTGATGAGTCAGGCCTTTGTAAGGTCTGTAAACCATTGCCCTGCCCTGGTGACATACTCGTATGTTGTGAAACCTTTTAGTGCACTTAGCACTGCACTCTCTCTCGCTCTCTCTCTCTCTCTCTCTCTCTGCAGACGTGTGCAGACATACCAAGAGGTTTACCATTTCTTTCCACCAAAAAATATCTGTTCGCATTCCTGCAGGCATGTAGAAACCCAGCGAAGAGCTCACAGCAGACAAACAGCTGTCTTGGGTCATAAATAATAATAGTCATAATGTGTTGAATCGGGTCAGTGTCTCGTAATAGGGAATGTACTGTGTGCGTGGTTTATCTGTACAGTAATCAGTGAGCGATCAGATAACTCAGCACAGGTGGGGAGGGGGTTCTGATCTGTCCCTCGAGGGGATAATTCATTTCGCCCACAAGATATGCAGTCAATTCACTGTATAGTATCTTCTGTGAAGCGCTTTGAGATAAGGAGCTGTACCAAAGGCAAGGATTATTATTAATAATTAATAATAATCATGCTCAGAGTCCTAGAAATTTACATCCAAAGTGAAGGTTGAGTTGGACACCATGGAATAGACTATCAGGCCTGTCAGCCCGGCTCAATCAATAGCACTTTCACCTCTTGAGTCGGAAGGTTGTGGGTTCAATCCCTGGCAATTGGCTGCCACGTTCCACCCACAAAATACACAGTCAATCGACATTACAATATATTCTGAGGAGCTCTTTGAGATGTCGCAATGACACGAGAAGGCACTATATCAAATGCAAGGATTATTATTATTTTTATTATTATTATATTCCTCTTAAATGCACCAGCTCCACCCGCCAGTGTGGGTGTGGCCAGCTCCTCACCCCTCTCCCCCCACTCCCATTTCGTTTTTTTTTTCAAAAAAGCAAACGTCGAATGAAAATAAAAACCTTAACGGCTGCATCAAAAAGGAAGATTTCAAAACGCTTTGCAATTTTCTCTCTCTCTCTTTCTCCTTAAAGCCTTCTGTTCGGAGTTTCCATGGTAACTCCCAACTCTTTCCTGGAACCCTGACAATGACTTGTATTCCCCCTTTACCATCAGCCAAAGCGTTTTGCATTTTGAAAGCGTAGGTTTTCGGCGGAATGAAAAGATGTGATGATAATCATCTGGTTTTGTCGACATTAAAAAAATATTTTCGGTGTTTGTGTTTCAAATGAAATTACGCAGAACAAGTAAAGTCCTCGAGCTCGTAACTCGGGCCCCCAAAAAAGTGCACAGAGGAATAGTGTGCTGACTGGTGAGGCAGTCTCCCTCCCGGTCATCATTCCTTCATAGGCCCAGTCTCTGATCTTTAAAGAATGGAAGGAAGGAAGTACAGTAACACTTGTATAAATCTAATCTGTATAAACCGTATAATCGCCTCAGTCGTACATCTGCCCAAGTCCAGTTCAACAGTTTATATTCTATGCAAGTTTGACGTAACTCAAACTTTGCATAAGTCATATTAAAAATGTGTGGTCCCAAGTGATATGACTTATGTGAGGTTTACTGTACTGTTGGAGAGAGAGATAATGCCATGTACTGCTACTGGGGCAGCTGTTAAGTGGCCTAAATCTCAGTGTCACACAGGCAGGAAAGAGGGGAGAAAATCAGCCAGGGTTCCTGCTCCCGGTTGGTTTAGAAGTGTAGGTTTAGGACAGATGGACACCAGCAAGTTTTTCTTTACACAGTTTGTAATCAACTGATGATACAGGTTGGCAGCAGCAAGGGGCGATTTCAGGCAAGTGACTTCATTATGGAAGTAGTGCGATGCTTTAATTGTTGTTGTTGTTGTTGATTGGAGGATGGAAGGATGGGGATTCTGGAGGGGTGAAATCGAGAGTCGGGTTTATCCGAATCTCTCTCGGGATCATGTGAGATTGGACAATGGGATTGCCCTACTCGTGCCCCCTTTCCTTTCCCTATTGAGCAAAGCAAGTCGGAGAAGAGCAAGGTACTCCGAGCTCTGGGGAACCCGGCGAAAGCCGGGTGGGAGGGTTTTACTGTGGCACCCAGAGACACTCAGGACAGCACAGCCAGAAGTGAAAATAGTTTACTCTTAATGAATCAATTAATTAAGCAAGACTTCCTTCACCTAACAAACTTGAGATAAATTAGATACAGTCCATTAGCAGATCGTGACTTGCTGAATGATGTTGCTCAGTACTGCTGTGTGCCCTGAACAATAGTGGGGTGAATATATTCGTGGCAGCAGCACGCTGGCTGTGCTGACAGACAGAAACGAACTCGAGTTGAAGTGGGATTTATCCAATTCCAGTGTTTACATATGAAAGAAAGAATCCTTTGTACCAAACATGAGTAGAAATGGTTAGTTTGGAGGCGAAAAAAAAAACCTTTCTCCTCTCAGCGGAGAGAATATTTGAAAAGAGAGAGAAAAATAATGTACGTCCCTTAAAGAGTTTAAATTGCTAATTTTCTTTTTTTTTAAAAAAACATATTTTGTATTGCGTTCCCTTTTATCTTGACCTCCCTGCTTTAAGCACTATTTCTAACAGAGAGATGATCTCTCCTCCAACATTGTAATAATTAATAATCCTAGAATCCTTGCATTTCATATAGCGCCTTATCATGTCGTTGAGATGTGTCAAAGCGCTTCACACTGGAGCTCTGTGGCAGTCATTGTCATATCCTTTCCCACGTTTGAACATTCGGGGGGAGCGGGGGGGCTTCCATTTAGGTTAGGGGTGGGAATTTGGCTGATGGCGTGGTCATAGAGGAAGGTCTTGAGACAGGCCTTGAAGGAGGCAAGTGAGGGTGTGAGGGATTCCGGGATTAAAAAAAGGGGGAGTTTGGAAAAACAATTAGCGGTGATGTAGAGAGGGCCGAATAGTTCTCCTTCCGTACTGAAAGTGGCCGCGTAGGGTGTTTCTATGATGAGGCCACAATTTGCCTGAACTGGAAGCCAATGGTGGCGAGAATGCAAAGTCTTCAAAGGACTGAGTTCCTATCCACCAACACCCAATCCTCAGGCCAGACAGATTTGCAGGCTCCAACGTGATTTAACCCGCTTCACAGCTCGGGATAGTTTAACGTTCAGTTCTGTTTGACCTTAAAGGGTCCCTGTCGCTTCAATCACCCTCCTACCCCACCACGCCACCCCCCCCCCCCCACCAACCACCTCTCCGGATCCCAATCGCCAGCTCGGGTGCGGATCCTTGACTGTCCTGTGCCTTGGGACATCCTCCTGACGTGAAAGGCGCTGTATAAATGTAATGTGTTGTTGTTCTTGTCACCCTCTCCCCCCACAACCCCCCCCCCACCATCTCCCACTCAGGACCAACTTGGAAGCTCTCCAGAAGAAGCTGGAGGAGCTGGAGCTGGATGAGCAGCAGAAGAAGCGACTGGAGGCTTTCCTGACCCAGAAACAGAAGGTGGGGGAGCTGAAAGATGATGACTTCGAAAAGATTTCGGAACTGGGCGCCGGAAACGGTGGGGTGGTCTTCAAGGTCTCGCACAAACCCTCGGGTCTCATCATGGCCAGAAAGGTAAGTGTTTCAGCGTCGACGCGTTAGAGAGAAAAACCCGATGCTGTGGTTTGTTGTAAACACTAAACAACACCCGTGTTTTGCCCCACTCTCAGCTCATTCACCTGGAGATCAAGCCCGCCATCCGCAATCAGATCATCCGAGAGCTACAGGTTCTCCACGAGTGCAACTCTCCGTACATCGTGGGGTTTTACGGGGCTTTTTACAGCGACGGAGAGATCAGCATCTGCATGGAGCACATGGTGAGCGACCGATTTTCCTTCAAGTTACTTTCCCATCTTGACTTAGATCGAGTCTGGGAATCCACAAACGTTCGATGGGAGCAATAATAATAATAATAGCCATAATAATAATAATCCTTGTATTTGATGTACCTCGGGATGGCTCGAAATGCTTCACAGGGTATATTGACTGTGTCCCACAAACAGTTGTGGATTGAGTGACCAAAATATTGTTGGGTGAACGGATTATTACCCCTCGGAAAGCGATCCGCTAATCAACTAACAAGAGGCTTCCTACTTACTGCTTTGGTAAACAGCGTCTGGAAGAGAGGAACTGTGCGGCAAACCCATTAACTCTAACCACTGTGTGCTTATAATGGGTTTCCTCTCTGGGATTCGAGGTGTAAATCACTGTTCGGGAGTGGCCTGTCACACCTGGAGTGCACACCTGTGCGTGGCTGCATTGTGATGTGTTTGTTTGGTTTCTGTTAGGATGGAGGGTCCTTGGATCAGGTGCTGAAGAAAGCAGGAAGGATCACTGAAGTGGTTCTGGGCAAAGTGAGCATTGCTGTAAGTACGACAAGAAAATATCCAAACATCGAGGCCAGTAATGGGCAGATCCCACCGCAGTAACGATGGACCACGGAACCTCTACATCACCCACTCAGTTGCAAGCTCTGACCCTTCTTAACCTGAGAGTTTGGTTTGTCGGTGCGTCAAGCCATTCTCTACTGCTTTGACATTTTGCAAAGGGTCAGCAACAGTAACAGCAACGTGTGTTTACATAGTACTCACACGGGTAGCGTCACAGAGACCTGTGGTCCAGTTGCCCCTCTGGCCACAGTCCCAGAACATACTCACCCACCCCCCCCCCCACTCCCTGCCATCTCATCATTGCCCTGATCTTCCACCCCCCTCTCTCCTTCTTTCAGGATTCACTCTCTTCCGCCTCTCCTGTATCTCCGCTCGCTCTGTCACTCTGACAGATAGTAAGAGGAGTAAACAATTACCTTAGTGCCTTAGCCCTAGAGTCAGTCACCTCCTTCAACAACATTTATCTCTCTCCCTCCCTCCCCCACCTCCAGCACGAGGCATGTTCTAGAAACATGAGCAGAATCCGGATTCTCACGCTGAGACACTCACCTACAACCGTCTCCTCTGTCTCCGTCCATGTTTCCCTGCTGTAGACGGTACACACTTGGCTGCCATTTATTCCTTCCAGAGGTTTGATTTTTCTTTTGTAACACCATCTTTCCAGGTTATCAAGGGGTTGGCTTATCTGCGGGAGAAACACAAGATCATGCACAGAGGTACAACGCCCTTTTTGCTTTGTTCCCGGATTGCTTCGCATGCAAATTATTCACTAACACCTCAGAAAGAACTCTGACCTACAGGCACGACAGGTATCCAGAAAGAGCGGGGGAATGGGACTAGTTGGATAGCTCTTTTCAACGAGCCAGCACAGGCACGATGGGCCAAATGGCCTCCTTCTGTGCTGTAGGATTCTATGATTCCATGGTTAAGGTTGGCCTTGAGGAACAATACATTGGCAAGTAAGACAGATGTTTGACCATTAGAAATTTCATCCAAAAGGGGGTAAAAATTCCATTCGGGGCTATGCAAAACAACTTTGGCCTTTCTAGTGGGAAATCCCATCAGTAGGTGACATCTGAACAGGGGATTAAAAGCCTCTAAGAGTAATAGCATTATCCAGAAAATATTAACTTGAGGCTTCAGTGGTCAGCCTATTCCTTTTCGTGCAAAAATTACATCCATCCCTGGATCGGATTTGCAGTGATGAAAAAAAAAAAGCAAATCACTTTATTTCTCAACATCCACTTGGTTCACCTTGGGAGCTGTGCATCTTTCTCTCTCTCTCTAAACCTAAATGGACTGCAAGCCATAAATTAATGCAGGATTGACCCAGTTCAGATCTCTACAGCTCTCGAGTTCAGAATAACCTTTTTTCGCACTGGATTAATTGAGTGCCCCGCAGACACCTGTTAAACTGGTTTTATCCTCCCAAATAAATCAGTGAAACAGGTCACACATGGCAGAAATGTTGCAATAAATCATGTGGTCGTCTCGATGTCCTTTGCTTTCTGAGAACATCCTCAACAATAACACGTTACATTTACGCAGCGCCTTTCACGTGAGGAGGACGTCCCAAAGTGCTGGACAGTCAAGGATTTGCATTCAAGCTGGGGGTTAGGATCAGGTGGGATGGGAGGGTAGGAGTAGGAGGGTGACCGAAGGCGCTGTCAAAGAGGTCCTTGAAAGAGGCAACTCTTCTGCCTTCAGTTGTTTTATAAAAGTGACATGTTTTCCTCTTCCTCCCACTCCCCCCCAACCTCCTCTCCCTTTCGTTTCCAGACGTCAAACCTTCAAACATTCTGGTGAACTCCCGCGGTGAAATTAAACTCTGTGACTTCGGAGTTAGTGGTCAGCTGATTGACTCCATGGCCAACTCATTCGTTGGGACAAGGTCCTACATGTCAGTAAGTCCCTCACTTTTGAAGCTCTCGCGGGTTTCATTGTTCAAGTCTCCCGGATGTTGGGCAGAGGCCTGAAATTTCTCGTTGTCTTAGGCCTAAGACCATTGCTGTAACATTTAAGATCCTGCAGAAATAATAAAAAAAGACTGTTTGTGAGACACTGTTGTTGCGCAATTGGCTTCCGCGTGTTGGCCACAAACTGCACAGTCAATTCACTTTACAGTATATTCTGTCAACGACATGATAACGTGCTGTATCAAATCAGTCTTATTCAGAAGCCCCCATTTCTGTTACTGGCTCAGTGAAAGTGTGGGATGAAACATAAGACCTGAAGTAGGCCATTCAGCCCCTCAGACCTGTCCCGCCATTCTATTAGATCATGGTTGATCTGTACCTTGACAGCATTTACCCGCCTTTGCCCCATATCTCTTGATGCCCCGACCATACAACGTCTATCCACCTCAGCCTTAAACATTTAAATGGACCTTGTTCCCCACTTGACTGTTTTCCAGCCGGAGAGACTTCAGGGAACGCACTACTCTGTGCAGTCGGATTTCTGGAGCATGGGTCTGTCTCTGGTGGAGATGGCTATCGGCAGGTACCCCATCCCACCCCCCGAAGGCAAGGAACTGGAACAGATCTTCGGCTGCCCCATGAGCGCGGAGGTGATGCCATCCGAACCCAAGCCTCGCCCACCCGGCCGTCCACGCGGCTGTAAGTCTTTGAGGAACGTTAAACAGTCACTCACACACACTCACTCACTCACACATATACACTCACTCATATATGTACACTCACTCACATGTATATAAACTCACTCACACATACACACACACACACACCAGGAATTACCGTTATAAACGAGCATCAGTCGTACAGGGAATGCGCTAAGTGAAATCGGCTCTAAACAGAGAGAGTGCGAATTGGTGAATAATTGCTGGATGCGATCAGTGATGCAGTGTTGGTGCGTTGAATGCTCCACTTTGTGAAGTGTTAATAGCAACTCGTGTAGCAACTCTTCCCCATAGTTCAGCTACTTACCGCACAGCGTAAAGAAAGTCTAAAGGCCAGGATTGGCCAGTTTAAGACGATCTGTTAGCCAAGGTTTTGACCCGGTCCTACCAACCCCGATGAGATTATAATAAAATAATAATCCTTGCATTTGATACAGATCACGTCTTTGTGACGTCTCAAAGCGCTTCACAGTATATACTGTAAAGTGAAATGACTATTATTTTGTGGACGAAATTCACTCATAATCTCAATCTCAGATTAGGAACTCACTCAACCAGAGATTAGCTGGTGCCAGATCCTGGACTGCCAATCTCTTCCCCCACCCTCCCCCACATCCTCTTCAGAACCCATTGGATCCCATTGTACCGAAGGCCTTTGTGGTTGGTGCCTCTACAGCACTCCCTAGTCTGGTTGGGTAGGACACCCTGTATGAAAGGCGCTATATAAATACAGGTTTGTTGTTGTTGTTGGCTCCAACATTTAGCTTTTTCTCTTCCAGCCTTTGGTGTTGACAGTCGGCCTCCCATGGCTATATTTGAACTCTTGGACTACATTGTGAACGAGGTCAGTGTCCTTCGCACCACATTTCCCGCACAGTTCTGCAAAACTCTTCCCTTGAATTCTGTAAATCCAGAGAGTTTTTAGACTTTTTTTTCTTGAATAGTATTTCCTGGGTGGTTTACAAAGGGGTAAATTGTGCGCCTAAGAGCGGACGATCACTACACACTGTATTTGCTCTTGGCAAATTTATTATTTGTGGGGGAAAAGTATACTGTCCCTTTAATGAGGATGAATTTCACCTGAAAGGGAAGGTGCCACCATACCCTGTGGAGATGGCTGTTCTCGTTTCCCACTGGACTCTGGCACCTGGAATCATTTATTGTCGTCCAAGTTTTAATGGACAAAACTTAACTTGTGGCTATCATTAGGGCATAGTTTCTACTGGGACCTCTCATCCTTGGTATCGGATTATAAAGCAGGTCAGAGGCCTTCTATCTCCCTCGCCCTTTCGCCCTCTGAACCAGTCACTTGACCTGGGAGGCAAAATCGGAAATGCCTGGCAGTCGTATATGGTGTTAGTTACTGATGGCGGCAGGAAGTTCAAACTCCACTGATAACATTCTGGAGAGATAAAGAAACCAAACACAGGGTTTGCGAGGCTGTGACATACCGAGAGGAAACACGTAGTCACTCCACTTTACAGCATATCTGTTAAGTGCTATTGGGATGTTCTCCTGATGTGAAAGACCCTCTATGTAATGTAATAAGGGTTAAGATTAGGAGTGTGGGTAACTGCAGAAATGTTTTAAAAGCAAGACACTCTAACCATTGAATTGTTTGGCCAAGTTTTACTAAATCAACAACCTCTCAGGACTTTTATGTTCTTCTTTCAGCCGCCTCCTAAGTTGCCCAGTGGCGTATTCAGCGATGAATTCCAGGAATTTGTGAACCAGTGGTGAGTCAGTGATAGTCATACAAGATCTAACCTGAGAGGATGGGATGGGCTGTGTGCATGCTGGCAATGTACTGAGGTGCAGTCTCTCTGCCCACTGTGACTTTTCAACACCCTGGTTTCCCTGTGCCCAGTGTCGTATAACAACAGCTACAAGGCCCTTGTAGGATGAGAGTGAATCAGTCACTCTCCTGTCGGCCTGGCTCAAGTTTGTTGTTGGCTCTCTTGCCTCGGGGTTAGCGGGTTCGAGCCTCACGTTCAGACTTGAGCTCATACCGGAAGCTGACACCCCCCCGTGCAGTACTGGAGGCAATGTGCCATTGATGGAGATGTTAAACCTGTCTGTTCTTCAGGTGGACCTTAACGCATCTCTTTAATGCAGTTGGAAAAGAGAACGCAATTTCTCCCAGTGCCTGAGCCAACAATCCTCCAGATAAATTGCTCATTCACTGCGTGGCTGTTTTATCGGAAGCTTGAAAAATGACTCCCGCATCAACGGAAAGAATGTATTTTAAAGTCTGTATCTCCTTTGTGCTTTCTTTTATGTATTAAAAAAAAGCTTAATAAAGAATCCAGCGGAGAGGGCGGACCTGAAGCAGCTGATGGTGAGTGAGACGGGGCGAAGTAATGTGATACCATCGTCACCTGCTGGCACTCAAGCAAATGGCAGGCTGTGGAGTTGGGGGTCACTTTAGAAATCAAAGTGGCTTTTATTTGCTCGTGGGACCGAGCTGACTGGGGGACGTGCAATACAGTTACCAGTGTTTATTCACATTATAATGGGATTAATAAAATCGCCGCTGAGCGCAGCAGAGTGGAAACGCTACACACGTACATGTTACAGAGATTGTAACGACGCTAGTGGAGGGGGATAAGATTCCGAGATTTCAGCTTGTGTCCTGTTTCCTACCGAAACTCTTCCTCTGACCCTCCGCCTTACCCACTCCCCCCCCTCCCAATCTTTAGGTCGCTACTGAAGAACTTCCTCTTCGACCGTAAGTACGGTCACCTCCACCCCCCCACAACGCCCCTCCCGGCTCAGAGTCATGCTCCTCCACTGTCAAGCGCTCTGGGATGTTCCCCTGCAGGAGGGATGCTATATTAATGTGAGATGTTGTTGTAGTAGTTAAAAAAATAATAATCATCATAAATCGGTCACTTCAATCCACGGCTGTTTGTGGGGACGCTGCTGTGCGCAATTGGCTGCTGCATTTCGCCCACAGAATACGCAGTCAATTCGCTTTACAGTGCATCCTGTGAAGGGCTTTGAGACGCCTCGAAGACACGATAAGGCTCTGTATCAAATGCAAGGATCATTATTAGTAGTAATGTGTATCTGTGTGTGTTTGTCTCCCTGACAGTCTCATTCTTTCATCAAGCGTGCTGAGGCGGAAGAGGTGGATTTTGCAGGTTGGCTGTGCTCAACCATCGGTCTGAAACAACCCAGCACCCCAACCCACACCGTGGCCTCATAAGTCCCTGGGACCGAGCTAAACCTTTTACTTTTTCTCTCTCTCTCTCTCTGTCTCTCTCTTTAACATGCGATGATCTCATGATTGTTTTCTGCTAACCCTTTACCTCAGTCACTAACGCTCCTGTCCCATTGATTGATTGATTGTTGTCACGTTGGATATTTTTTTTAAAAAAAAGGAAGGATGTCTGTTTCAGGTCATTTGCCTTAGTTAGTAAGAACCTGCCTGTGGAGGGAGGTATCTTTGTCTCCATTAGAGATGAGAAAAGGCGAATAATGAGACTCGATGGTTCCCTTCTAAGCCGGTAAAAGTGAGAGATGATTCACTCGGCGAGTGAACAATTTGTTGGGCATCATGTTCCCCTCGGGGAGGGCAGGGACACTGGTGGAGAGAGGGATCTTTAAGTTAATACTATAATAATTGGGAGCTGATTTTTGGGGTGGGATTAAACAAGCTCTTGCACTGGACTGCTAATAGGTATTGCAAACTCCCAACCAAATTATATACTCCTACCCATTTACTGGCCGGCCTGTCGAGGTGGCTGGTTGGACAATCTGCTCCTCGGCTTTTCTCAATGTCACTTTCCAACCTGCTGCTGGACTGGGAGCAGTGTGAAGATGGCCACGGTTGATGGCTGGTTCCCTCTCCTTCCCAGCGAGCCTTTGCTTATGAGCCCCACCGAAATGAACCGACAGAGATAGGAAACTCAATGTATGGCCAGAGCGGAGGCCAGAAATCTCATCCCAGCACTTCTGCTGCAACACGTTAATTCACCCAACACATTGGACATTCTCCCCCTCCATCCACCCCCCCCCCTCCCCACTACAATTACCCACCCAGCACCAAGGTGCATTGAACACTCGTGGCCACATCCCTTGGAGTCTCGCTGCCAATTCCTCTCCGTTACTTTAACGTCGTGCGCACAAACCGAGGCCAAATTCAAAGCGGGTGTTGTTCCTGCTCTGCGAGCGAACGGTCATTGACCGCGACGGAGAGATTTGCTGTCCGACGCCTTATCTCCAGGGAGGTCGAGGGATTGTCCGACATGCTTACAGTAGTCAATTAACCATTTCCTGTGCTTGCTGTGGGGAAAGTTCCTGCCGCAATGCCACCTTGGCGACCGGCCTCTTGTTATGGAAAGTTGTCGAAATTCAATCTTTATCTGGAAGCCCCCCTTTTTTTTTTTCTCTTTTTTTTGTTGCAGTTCACGAAAATAACCGACTTCCAGTTTTAAGGCTGAATTTTCCTGGGGAACGAGTGTGAGTCCATGTAAGTTTGGGAACTTTTGCAGGTTTCCGTTTGAACGGTTTCATCGTTAAGAGTGAAACGGCGCCGCCTGCCGGCGAGGCAAAGGCACTGCTTCCAGCTGCCGGCTTTCTGGGTTTGATGCCTCTTTTGAGATGCAGAGCTGCCTGGGACAACAGTCATCAACAATAATAATAAATAACAACAACAATTTGTGGTCACTCAATCCACGACGGTTTGCTGCAATCGGCTGCCGCGTTTCGCGTACAAAATATACAGTCGGTTCACTTTAGTGTATTCTGTGAAGCGCTTTGAGACGTCTAACAGGCGTGAAAAGCGCTATATCAAATGCTAGGATTGCTATTATTATTGTCCGTGGGCATCACGTGCCCAGACTGTTTGGTTACGGCCGATTTGAAATTAGTTATTTTTGTGAAACCGAAAGAATCGGTTATGGCAGGACAGACAAGACAGAGCTCGGTTTGTGTTTGGATCTGGTGGGATTTTTCAATCGTGTATATGTAATATATATATATACACATACCCACACATAAAACTGCAAAAAAATAAAATCCACCACCCATTCTAACCTCTGTGCCAGGAAAGAATAAACTATCTTTTCCCTTTGCCACCAAAACAGGATTGACTATACTGTAGATGGTCTGACATCTCCACTGCTGCCATTTCAGCACCGACCACCAGTCACTGAGTGTGGCTCAGCCGCACAGTTGCCGATGGCCGAGAGTCACTGGGGGAGTGCTTTCGATTTAATGTTTAGAGGATTCTCCCTTCTATTTTTTTTTTGGCTAAGACTAAATGTTTTTCTGTCCTCTTTTTCTTGGTCTCTCCCTTGGTAACTGGCTTCCTTGTGCACCAAACTGGTCATTAAAAGATGTAACCTGGGATCCTTTGGATTCTCTCCATAGTGCAGCTGATTTTTTAAAAAAAAAATCTAATTGGGATTTGCAGTTCATATTACTTTGCTGATACAGCAGCCTGTGCCCACACTCAGGTGAGACTCCCTCTGTGAAAGGAGCCTTGATGGCAAGACTACTTACATTTCTGCCTTGTTAAAATGTAATTGACATAGGTCTCGAGTAATTCAACAGGAAATTGAATTTTATATTAAAAATCTTTAGGGGAAAAAAAATCACGTTGCAACACTTAAGGATGCAAGATGTGCAGTACACTAAACCAGACAATCTTTCTTTAGACCAAATACGATGAGAAAATAGTGTGTAATGTGAAACTGTGCAATTTAGAGAGCTTTTTGTGTTCCTGCTAATATTTTCATCAATTGAATGTTGCAATAAATGTACAAAAACCTAAAACTTCAGCTTCTTTCGTCTGTTTTGTAGATATCTGAACAAGAGCGTAAAGGTTCCAACAAAGGACTTTTACACATGTAATCTCATCCCAACATACTCTACCTTCCACTTGTTTTCAATCATTCTTTAACAAGTCTGTAACAGACTTTTGTTGGAAAAAACCAACCAATTAAGTACGAGGGTTTGGGCAACAAAACCCATCAACCCATGTCATTAATTGCATACAGCTATATTGTGGAATGGGGTGGTCAAGACTGAAACATTAGACCATCTGGGTCACAAACAGCCTCTGGCCTATACTGTATTTACATAAAATAAATCAGCTACAAATTTCAGAAAACTTTTTTTAAATATATTTTTATTTGAATTTAATGCAAATGCCATTCCAAGAGAGGTCCGTGAACCAGTCCCTCATCTAGTTTTATGCTGCTGTCTTCTTTGCTGCTGCTTCCTTTGCCGCAGCCTCCTTCGCCTCGGTTTCCTTTTTATGCTGATACCGTGCCTGTCGCCTTTTCTTCTTGTCCGCCTTGGCCTTCTGCTTGATGGGATTTGGCTTTTTGTCTAACTTGGCCTGATGCTGAACAGAGGAAATTAAACATCACACACATTAGTGGATTCCTTACTGCACCGAGGGGCTTTATATCCAGCCAGGATTACTGATTGTACCAATGTGATGTCAGAACTGCCACTGATATCACAGGTTTTCAAAAAGTGGATGAAGTCCAATCTCATTCAGTGTTGTCAGCCACGTTCACCTTTTTACAAAATAGCGGGCACAGCATTCGAATCAACCCATTTCACAGCACTAACTTCACTTTAAACAACACCCGAACCAGCTGGTGCAACATTGGCCAGTCAGGCCTCTTGACAGATCCTGAACCCCATTATTCTGCTGTCTTGCGATGGACAAGCCAGGCAGAACTGATTTTAAAATTGAAGTTGAAAGTAAGAAAACTAAGATTCACTACATGCAATTCAGGCAAATCTACATTGAACACCACTTATTGTTGCAGCCCAGTTCAAGATCACAGCTTCAAAAACACTGTTTCCTTGTAAGACATTCTGTGCAATCAACAAACAGTTTAATAAAAGGCCATAACTGCACTTACGTTCTTCGCTTGCAAGAGGATTGCACGGCGCCTGGCTGTCTTGGCATATGGATTGAGCTTGATCATGACCCTCAAGTTCTTCAGTGGGTTCTTCTTAAGCACCCTGCGATGAACCTTTTTGCTGAAAAAAACAAGTGGATGTTAGCTTCCGACACCACACACAGTTGCTGAGATAAACGGAGGATTTCAAACAATAAGGCACAATTCTTCACCCAAAAATGACACACTCAAAGTAATCATACCTGCTGACCGGCATCAGAACTTCCACTGAAATCATTAGTTTCAGAAACACGGACCATGAAGTGGAATCTCATCATTCAGTGCCGGTCACCCCCCTCCACTCCCCCCCCCTCCCCACTCCGACTTTAATCTTTTTAAAAAATGGCATGCACATTAGAATTAATCATTGACTGTCCCGAGTTTAATGCACTAGTACATTTCCCACTTACTTGGGGGCACGAAGAGCCTTTTGAATTTCTTGACTCTTCATGATACGGCTCAGGTCTGTGTTCGTCATCTTGTGAATAGGGAGACTGTTAGGGGGAAAAAAGTACAAAAGTAAAAAAAATTAAGTACCAAACCAATGGGACATTAAAAATGATCAGTTGACAGAAGAAATAATAGACATTAACTGGGTCTGTCGGGGATTAATGGTTACTAGGTGATGGTGGTTAGTGCCATCACTCGTTTTCATTGATGCAGTCATGGTCTTTCTGCTGTCTGTAAAGGTTCTATGTGGAGTAACATTTCGAAAATACAATATTGCCTACAATTCAGCACAAACTGTAGAAAATAGATGTTTGGGAAAGTGAAATCTGATATTAATGAGCTTCTTACTATGTGGAATCTCTGAACTGAGAGCATACTGTGTGCTGAAAAGGGTGTTCTCTTATGACCTTCCTTACTCTGAACTCAAAAATCACATTGGGGAAAGTTGCAAACACTGTACACATACACAAACTGCATAAATAATAAATCTAAGAGACTAAAAAGAAAATCAGTGAGGTTAAGATTTAATTTCGAACATGTGCAAGCTTCTTGTTACCAGTCATCAGAACTTCCACTGATATCACAGGTTTTCAGAAACACGGACCAGAAGTGGAATCTCATCAGTTGGGACTGAAGCTCAAGCAGCCACTAAGTAATTTACATCTCCCTTCACGTAATGCTCCCGCTCAACAGGATCCTGTCCCCAAATCCATTCATAAAATTATGGAGAGGCCTCTCCGTTCATGTAACTACAGACTTACTTGTATCCCAGCTTCAGTGTGGAAGGCTTACGCCAGGTGCCGTACAGCGGGTCCAGTTTACGAAAGGCGCTCTCCGTCCAGATGCAGAACCGTCCAACGTGGCCACCAGGAGCGAGCCTCAGGACATTCAGTTTGTTAACGTTGAGGAGAGTGATGCCTGGAAGAGAGGATAGAAACCGGCGTTACAATTGGAGCTTTTTTTTTTTTTTTTTTTTTTTTTTGTTTTTCTTAATGCTGCAGCTTCACTAATTCGAGATACTTTTGCTTTTTTTTTTTGATTTTTTGCCTTACAGGATCATCCAGTCTTTGACAGGCTTCACTATCGTCACTAAAATTAAATTTAAAGCTCCGACGGACCCTCCGTTCCTCTGGCTCGGTCTGCTCCACGTCCCCGCCCCAACCGCCTACATCGGTGGTCGGGCTTCAGCCTCTCAGCCCGAGCTCTGGAACTCCACCCCAGTGCTTCGCCTTGCTTCCTCCCTTTCCTCCTCAAGGCCGGTCTCAAACCTTTCTCTGACCGTGCCTTCAGCTCCCCCTCGACTCTCTCCCTCCTCCCCCCCCCTCCCCTCCCCTGCCATTCCCCTCCTCTCTCCCCCCCCTCCCCTCACCCTGACCATTTCCCCCTGCTCGGGTCAGACCACTGTGCAGCGCCTTGGACTCCCCTGACGTGAAAGGCGCTCTATAAATGGAATCTTGTTGTTGTTGTTGTTGTAAGCCGGGGGGCTTGAACACAGCAAAAAATATTTAAGTGCCACAGAACAGTTGCTGCTCAAAGGCGCGTTCATGCAATACCATATACCGATGAGAGAGATTCTCTTTCCCTTCAGAATTCAGGCACTTCCTAAGGGGCATTACCGAATTTCATTTCATTACTGAAAGGAAAAGTGCTGGGTACAGCACGGTTTCACCGACTACTGAAACTTCAACTCAGATCGGTTTTGTTCACTCAAGGCATCAGAACTTCCACTGATATCACAGGTTTTCAAAAACACGGACCATGAAGTGGAATCTCATCATTTTATCGCCATGATTTAATTCTATTGGACAGTAGAGTACCTCCATGTTATCTTATGTAATTCTTCTCGTCAATTTGCCAATCCTCAAAATTTATGTATTTACTTGGCTCAATTCTTTGTCTATTTCCCCAATCAAATTCAAAAGCGAGAAGTCCTCCAGTCTCGATGACCTTAGGAACTCAAAACTTATCTTGAAATGATAAAACGACCAGGTCATTTTGCCAAACAAACTAAAACACTTCCGTGCGGGAAGAGAAAAGTGCATTACCTGGGATGTTCCTGAAAGCTTTGGTAATTCCGTTGTCTTCGTTGAAGATGACACACGGGCCCCTGCGCTGGATTCGACGGCGGTTCCTCATTTTACCTTTGCCCGCACGCATTCGCTGGGAAGCATAAACCTGCCAAAACAAACATATTTTAAAAAAGTCTGTATTCGGCTTAACAATCAGAATTTATTTTAAAAAGTATTCCATCAACATCAGGCCCCCCCAACTCGTCACACTAAATCAGAAACACAGACCGGAAGTGGAATCTCGCCCTCTCTCAAGATAGTGCAGTATTGCAGAGACCACTGTGTCCATTCCAATCAGCACGAGACGCTCACCTTTTTGATATCATTCCAGGCCTTCAGCTTCTTCAGGATCAGAACAGCCTCCTTTGTCTTCTTGTAGCCCTCGACCTTGTCTTCAATCACAAGAGGCAATTCTGGGATTTCCTCAATACGGTGACCTGCAACGATCCAAGCCCAATTTCAACATCTTATCTGTTTTAGTACGACAGCAAACATCAATGTTCAAATGCATCTGTTTCATTCCTCCCCCACACCCACAAAAAATTAAGCTCCTGATAATAAGAGCTAAGGATGAATCTCCAGTCAAAACAATATTGGCCCAAGTTTTCTGCCTGCCACATCTCCTCAGTTAGAAAGCATCATTAAACAGAATATCCCCATAGTAATTTCACCAGGACTGACTAGAATTCAGCGCCTCACTATCAATCAACATCAACCAAACCCAAGTGTTACTGTAGCACCCGCTACCCATCACGACTGACATTATCGGGGGGGGAATTAATCACTGCAGAACCAGCTTTTCCTTTCTCACAGTAAACACAAGAACAGCCTTTGTGATGTGAAATGAACAATATTTTTCAAGAAGCTTTTAATTCTCAGGTTTAGGTTTACTTGAGATTTATAATTTACACGATTTAAGATCTGCCTATGTGCTTACCTTTCGACATGACCAGAGCAGGAAGAGCAGATGCTGCCAATGCAGAGCAGATGGCGTATCGCTTCTGGCCCACATTCACCCTACGGTGCCAACGGCGCCAAGTCTTTGTGGGAGCAAACATGCGTCCACCACGGCACATCTGTGATCTGAGTTAAGGTGCAGACTTTTCCAAGAAAATTCCCAGATCTAATCTTGCTCAGATTTGCATGATCGTCATTTTTCTGTGCCAGTTAATCGACAGTAGGCAACTGTCACTGTGCACAGTATAAGACGCAAATTACACCATCATCGCAAGCATTGACCTGTGAATTTAAACAGTTATCCAGCAGCACTATGTGCAGATTCTTCGGCCAAATGACACTGCACTTTTAGGACCAACTAACTGCAAAACAATACAGAAAAAATACTGCTTCTGATTGAAATCAATTATTTATTGCAATCATTCTCTGCCCCACTAAAATCTTTTCCCATCATTCTGTTTTTAGAATAATGATTTTCCAATATCTTGTGTCTACAAAACACACATTTATGGTAGTCTGAAGTGCTTTCATATCCTTCTGGTGTGAAAGATGCTATATCAAATGCGAGGATCATACTTTGGAAAGGTGCTGTTCACAACCCCAATATAGTTTTCCTGAAACAAAACCAGTTCTTCCTCTGGGTATACATCACTCTAATGTTTCTTTGCCAAGCCACCGTCTACCTAAATCAGGCACCAACTACAGACAACTACTTACTTTGGGAGCCCAAGGAGAACTGCTTAACGAAATTAAACGTGCAGTCAATGAAAAAGATACGTTGCCAAAGGCACCCTGACCAGAGCGATGAGTACCACCACCGCGAACACGGGGAATACGAGCCACAGCTCGACCAGTACCCCACGACTCCGCACTAGTTTGGTGACCTGAAAAACAAAATTAAAACAATTGCTAACAAGGCCTGAACTAATACAAGTCAAAATACTCATCTGTACCCAGAGGTTGCAAACACAAGCCAGGTAAAATTGGTTCTACAAGCAAAAACAGCTTAATCGAACAAAAAAAGTAGAAACCCATATCAGCATATTCTTGCTCAGACTAAATATTCATCATTCATCTGTGCCAGTTTATTGACAGGCGGCAACCCGTCACTGTGCACAGTGTAAGACGCAAATTACACCATCATTGCAAGCACCATCATTGAGGTTGACAGCAGGTATCAAGCTGATATGCCCAGAAAAAACCTGAAGCAATAATGGTGTGTATACCTTTGCTTTCTCAACACAAGTTGCAGCTTCTAATGTCCACCAAAGATCGAAGATATACATGCAGCACAGATATAATACAAATTTATAAAACTTGAGCCATTAGGGAGCTGGATTCTGTAACTAAGTGTTGAACATTAAGACATTCAGTCTCATTACTGGTTGATTTGCTGAAGTTCTAAATTTACTGAAGGCTAAATTAAATTGCCTTTCCATACTCTTCTAGCAAGGTGTAATTTGTTAACACTATACACATGTCAAACTTTGATTCCACTGCAGTGTCACATAAATTGCATATAAAAACCAACTGAAGTTGCTGACTTTTCATCTTTCACCTGGTAGCAATCCATGCAAATCACTTACCATTACAGAAACATGAGGTCTATCCCTCAAATGAGAAAGGTTGCATTTTGTCAAGCACTTTTAAAATGCATTACCTGCATCTGCGCTCACAGCATATGGCTGCCTGTTATTCTTGCGCAGGTTTGTGTGGACAAAGTTCACGATATCTGGACGGATGGGAGCCTTGAAAACAGCAGGCAAAACAACATTTTTGCCCGAGGCTTCTCCCTTCTCGCTGTACACGGTTATCAATGGTCGAGCACAAGCCTGAAATAAAAGGAGAGTAAAAATAGTGAACCAATGATGAGTTTCTCAATGACCAATACATTTTTAATCTTTCCAACGTCCAACAACTCTCCTCACTCCAGATACAGACACCAGACAGGGGGCATTATGGTGGTGGGGGGGGGGGGGGGCACTTACTCTTCCAAGCTACTTCGATGACACACATGAACTCACATCTTGTTGCTCCGCAGTGAGTTCACCCAATACCCTACATTCAAAAAACACACCTTCAGGGAAGCAAATGGCACTCCCCATAAACACGTTATTAGCTAAATACCAATAAGGAGTAGAATGCTCCTTATTCCAGCGGTGAGAACGTTCCCCAATTCTGACTCGCCTAAGAAGCACTCCAAAAGCTGAGACAGCAACGGGCGGCAACAGACTTCGATATCAGGACGACCAACGCAACGCAACGCCCAACGGAACAAGAACTTAACAGAGTAGACGCCCCCGGTACTGAACCAATCCCTCCGACCCGAGCCAAGAAACCCATCCGAAACCGTTGGGACCCTCAAAGAAAAAAAACACACACAAGAGCGCGCGCGGGCCTTCAATTTAAAAGAAAAAAAAAACTCTCGACTTTCTTTTATTTTTTGTGCGCGTGTTTTTTTGGTGTGTGTTTTTTTTTCAAAAAAAAATACAGTCGAAATAAACACCAACACCGCTGTTTCCCCCCCCAAAAAAAAACACAAATCGGGAGGGGGAGATGGAGGGGGGGTGTGGGGGGAGAAGTGACCTGACCCCGCGCGCCGGATCTTTAAACGGTCGGTGGTCCCAACAGTTTGCTCGTCATCTCCCACTCCCCCCAAACACACTCTCTCTCTCTCTCTCGCGTTTTTGTTCAGGTTACAACGAAACCGCTCGACAGACAGAAAACGTGGCTCTCTCTTCACTCTCCCCCCCCCCTCCCTCCCTCTCCCCCCCACTCCCTCCCCTCCTCCCTCTCCCCCCCCCCTCCCTCCCCTCCTCCCCCTCCCCTCCCCCCGGCCACCCCGTCCTCTCTTCCATCCTATAAAATGGTGACATCCCCCCCCCTCCTCCTCCCGCCCCACTCTCTCTCTCACACACACACACACATACACACACACAGAGTATCCAGAATGAAGCTAAACCACCGGTCAGACACCGTGTCTCTCTCCCCCTCTCCCTCCCTCCTTCCTCCACATGCGTTAAAATGGAGGCCTTGGCGCGTGCGTCGCCGCCGCCGCCGCCGCCTCCTCCTCCATCACGCGTTCGTTCTTCGATCGATCCTTTCCTTAACCGGGCGGTGAATTGCCTGCTTTACGCCCGTGGCCGTGAGTGAGTGAGTGGGTGGGTAGAGAGAGAGAGAGAGAAAAGGAGGATTAACGCACCATTTTGTGGGTTCTTCACGGCTCGCCACTGCCCCGACTCCGCTCCCGGGATGGCGGCCACGGAAGGAAAAGGAAGGACGCTTCACCGCCACTCGCTTTATAACATCCCGCCGCCGGCACTACTTCCTCCCCCTCCCCTCCCCCCCACACACACACAAAGCGCCCAACGGCCACCGACCCCCCCCCCCCCACTCCTCAAACTCTCTCCTCTCTCTCTTTCCCGAGAAAAAACACACACAGAGACACTCAAAACACGACGCGCCTTCGAAAAAAAAAAGATATCGGGACAAAAACTCTCTGAATTCTTTGTCCAAACCGACCTCGAGCGCGGCGCGGACTATTTTTTTTTCGCGGAGTGAGACGCGCGCGCGAGAGCTGTCTGGCGGTCGGTCGGTCGGTCGTCGCGTGGCCGGGTTTTCATTCCGTTTAAACGGTACGTTTTTTTTTTTGGAGGTGAAGGGGGGAGAGAGAGAGAGAGAGAGAGAGAGAGGAATTAATTTATGTTAAGATATCAGTTTCGGCTTTTTTTTTAAAAAAAAGTTTTAAAAAAAAGGTTGATTGAAATATCGGCGTTGGTTTCCGGCGGATGTGACGCGCGGGCCCGGGGCGGGAGGCGGGGCCGAGCCGGTGGGCGGGAAGCGCGCGCGCGGGCTGTTCGGTTTTGAGGTGCATTTGAAAACCAATACGGTTTTTGATCCAAATTCCCCTCAGAAACAGCGGTCGGTGTTCAGAGGAAAATCGTGGGGCGGGTTTCTCAAACCCAAACCAGGCGATGGCGGCTGCGGGTCTTCAGGCCGCCCGAGACTTCCACACGTTTCTGCTGGAGTAAGTGTAGTGATGATGATGATCATCATCATCATCATAATAACCATCATCATCATCATCACGATGAGCCTTGCACTTGAGGCCGCCCCTTATCGTGCCGTGGAAGACGTCTCTCAAAGGGCTTCTTCACGGGAGAAACCCGCCGCGAACCGGATTGACGCGGGAGGCCGTTGGGCGAAACAGGCCGACCGCGGCCGGGGCGGCGAACTGTACGGCGCAGAAGGAGGCGTCTCGTCGCGTGGCGTCTCGTCGCGTGGCGTCTCGTCGCGTGGCGTCTCGTCGCGTGGCGTCTTGTCTCGTGGCGTCTCGTCGCCGCGTGGCGTCTCGTCGCGTGGCGTCTCGCGTGGCGTCTTGTCTCGTGGCGTCTCGTCGCGTGGCGGCTCGTGGCGTCGGTGCCGGCTCTTTGAAAAGCTTCTCCAATCCAAGCGTTCAATGAGCCTTCGGCCACTCCCGCCCCCAACCTCTGGAATTCCATCGCCCGGTCACTCCGCCTCGCGCCCCCCCCCACATCCTTAGCCTCCTTCAAGTCCCCCCCGTACCCCCCCCCCCCAAGACCCTCCTCTTCGACCATGCCATCAGCCACCCCCACCCACCTTCCCCTTCCCTCCCTTATCCACTCCCTGACCCCAGTTCGGGTCTGAAATGCTGTACTCTGTCCAGCGCCTCGGGACGTCCTCCCGACGTGAAAGGCGCTATACACAGGTCATCTTGTTGTGAACAAACCCCTTGTGCAGCAGCCGTGATAGACCCGCCGGGCAATGATGATACAACAGTAGCGATAGTCTTTGCGTTTGACAGGGCGCCTTTCGCGTCAAGAGGACGTCGCAAAGCCCTTCACAGGATTTTACTGTAAAGCGCAGTGGTTGTGTGTTTTGTAAGCGAACGTGGCTGTCAAATTTGCACGCAGCAAAGTACCACAAACAGCCATGAACTGAACGAGCCATTTTATCGGTGGAATGGTTGGCCAGGACACGGGGCAGAAAAGCTCCCTTCTCTTTTTTGAGTTGTGCTTCGGCGTCTTTAACGTTTGCTCGAACCAGGCGTAATGCTTCTCCAGGTAACTCTGCCTTATCCAAAAGGGCTTTGATTTGCAGGATTGAGTCCACATCTACAGCACTTAAGTCTGCCTTGTATTATAGCGCACTAGCAGTTTGAATGATTTTTGGTCAATTTGATCTCATTATTCCAGAAATACCAAATATCACATTAACTTACCTCAGCTATTTATTTTTTCAGATTGTGTGATCAAGGCAAGAAAGGGACATCGAAGGAGCCAGTGTTGTACAAGGTATTTTGCCTTTGAGGCTTGGGTTATTCTTGTTGGCTGATAAAATATGTAAAGTAAAATCATTTAATTTTTTTTTAAATATCTAAATCAGGCGGAAAGAGTATTCCTGGTACCCTGACAGAATTTCTGATTAAAATCTCGTGATACTGCACCATCTCAGCTTCACCACTGATTTAATGGTTAATTGTTTAGAGATCAAGGTTGAATATAATTTTGGTGACTGATCTTCAATATTTGGTTTGATTTGTAGGATGAGGTCCATGTGCAGATCATATCCGAAGAGAGCAGAAATCCCTTACGTTCATTCTGGAATGGAAATTTCCCAATAATTATAGCAGAAAGACCAGTAAGTATGTTTTTTTAAAAAATTAAATTAATTGCGCAATTAAGTGCAGTGGACTGGAATGACCTAATCTCTGCTTTCTCACAGCCATTAAAAGTAGATGAGGATGAAGTGGAGGAGTCTCACACGACTGAAACAAGCAATGGATCTCCTTTCAAGCTAACAGAAAAATCCGGGCCATTGCCACTCTCGGTCATGAAGGCAAGGTAATAGCTGAAATAGTGTCATGAACCAGTGATATTTGTTACATGCCTAGTATATACAGTCAATGTATATTCGTCTTGTACTTCTAACAGTTATCTGTTTCTTTCCTTTCTTTGTAGGCAGTTGATTTCTTGGTATGCTCTGGCCCACAATCCAAATATGTCCCAACTGGTCAATTGCAGCACATCTGTTGCACTCCCACTGCTGTGGGTTAGATGTGATGGCTCTGATCCTGAAGGCATTGTTTGGCTGGGAGCTGAACCTCTTAAACCTAGGGATGTCGTTACAGCAATGGTTTTCCATATAGTTACATGCAATGGTAAGACTTCACGAAAGGCAGATGGGTCATGAATACTTTGTTTTAATTGCTCCTATTTCAGTTTCACAGTGAAGTAATGTATTTCAATACCTTTACTAATTTTATTTCCATCTACTTTAAAACATGTTATTGAATTGACATCAAAGTACGGTTATAAGAAAGGCTTTGGACGGTTGAATTCACTGCTTGCAGTTTGCGTTATCATTTGGCAATAAGACCATGGTTGATATCAACTAACTCAGTACAGACTGATATTTAATCCCATGATTTTCGTTGAAATTGCAGTGCAGCACCAGTAGGTGTCTTTACTCACTAGACTTATTAGGAAGGCGTTAAATATCACTGCAGTAATGTTTGATTAGAGAATAGTCGTTAGACCGTATTGTTCTGTACCTAATGTGCTCACACCCTTTTCCTGGCAATTTTTCATATTTAAAGGATTATACTGGAAGTCATTTGTTTTACATTTTGATTATTATTATTATTATTTATTTATTTAAAATTCCTTTAGGACCAATTGTCGACCAGAGTTCTTTCACCAGTTTAGAAAGAGTGAAAAACATTCACAAGGACAGACATTCTTGTTCTTCAGTAGGTATTTTTTTCTCTCATTTTCAATGGCTTTACTTTTATTAAGACGTGTACGTTTGTTTAGGGATACTGTATATAAATCCCTGCCAAGCTGGGTGGTAGATTTTTAACTTGAATGCCTCAAGATGAAAAGTAATAGTTTATTGCTTTCATTTAGGTAACGACCAAGTGCTATGCACAGTATGATTTGTTTGGTTCCACTGTAGTGGAGAACACAGTTATAGAATCTCAAAGTACTATTATGGTGGATTTCACTTGGAGCAATGTGGAGAGCATCTTGGAAGTTCCCCCACTCACATCAACTGCCACACTGGTAAGTAAAGCAAATATTTAGTATCAGCATTTGTTAAGCTTGCATTGATGTAGAAAGCAAGACAGCTTTGCCACTAACTTTCCTTTAATGTGGCCAATGAATATTTTTGGGTAATTGTATTATTTTTGATGTTTTTTTTAGAATATCAGAGTAGAATCTGGAGACATGAGAAGCCCTGTATTCCAAATATATAAAGAGCTGGAATTTCTTCTTGTAAGTATGTTTTTTTGAATATCAACCCAGAATGATGCTTTGCTTGCTTAGCCTTCACACGGGAAAAGACCCTATACAGTGAATAGGATCAGTAAACATTGCATATTAATTTCAATATGAATCTCGTTAAATGTTGTACTTAACCAACTTAGGTCTCATTTCTGAATGTATAACATTGCCCACCCTGAAAATTCACCCTCCATATTAAAAGTCTATTGAGATGACATGCACTTGTTTTAAATATAAACAGTTTATGGATGCTGAGGAAGAACTATGATGATGTGGCTTCGCCTATGTGTTCGGCAGGTTTTAGCTGAAGGTTTGAAAACAGGAGAGACTGAATGGCCAGAAGTCCTAGAAGGAAAAAGTGCAGTTGATGTTGTTCAGCAATTAATTGAAGGTACAGAGGACAAGCATTTCACTTGTAAAGTTTACATTTCCATATAAACCAAAGTTCCAGCCTCAAATGTCATGGAAACTGACACTAATTTAAGGAGTTATTTTTTCTGTTCTTATCAAATCGAGGAATATCAAAGTTAAGATATTGGGAGTTTTTCACTTTTACGTTGGCCAAGAGATTCCTTCCCATTAGTTTTCTGGAAGTTATTTGTTTCTACGTTGTAATGTGTCCCATCTTTAATACAGACCTAAAGAACCAGCTGGATGTCTTTCATAATCAGTCAAATAAAAAGGATGCAGAGGTAAGGTTTTTTTTTCTAATGCTGACACTAGTATAGTTAAGAGTTTTAAATACGAATACGTATGTAAGGCAAATAATTGCCTTTTATTAAAGCAGAGGGTAAACTTAAATACTCATGAACTGGGTTGTGTAATTTGTTGGAAATAAGGCAACTTGTCTTAAAGGTTCCCAGGAACTATTGGCATTATCTGTAAGAACAAGTTTATTTTGCGTAAATGGAATGCTCCTTATCAAGATGGGTATGTGGTGCAGTTATAGGAAGATGTGTGAATTATTGAATTGGTACGTTGATCTTAAACAGCTACACTTATTACAAAGAGTGTCAGTCAGTACTTTTGTAACTGCAGCAAAATGAAACCCCAAACTATTCGATTTTATTTGTAAGTACTTTTGTCTGTTTGCATAGCGATGAACTTGTCTCAGCATTGCTTACAAGTTGCTTAAAAAACAACAGTGGTCTAACAGTAAACCAGCAGTGTTTTCATTGGAATGTAGAGTGAACTATTCCACTGTCAAGCTAGCTTACTAAAGGACGCCCGTGATGCTGACCATTCACTTTATTTGCTGTATGTTTTGTTTCCACTTCATTTTTTTTCAATCAGAAATTAAAGAGCGATGCCGCTGCTGTGGATTCAAACATTCACTCGTCATTTGTTCTCGAACGTGGAGACCTTGATTTTGCAGAACAGCTCTGGACCAGAATGAGAAAAAGTAGGTAGTCTTCTAATAAACTCGCTGCTGAGAGATCAAGCACAAGTAGTCAGTGTCACAGAATAGTCTCTATGATCCATTTCATTTCATTTTTCTGTTTGTTTTGATTCAGCTGTTTCCTCATACCAAGATGTAGTGGATTGCTTAACATTAGTTCTTCAACACTTAAAATGTGGTGACATTCAACCATGGGTATGTAAGAGTGTTGCTATTTCAAATAGTTAATAATTTGGTGATGCTAGTTTTGTTTTACTAATATATTTTTCTTTTTTAAATTGGGGATTGCAAATTTAGTTTCAGTCCTTACAACATTGGTTTGCCTCATATAGTTGTACTTTGTAGAAATTTCAGCACAGAAGGAGGTCATTCAGACCATCACAAGCAATGTGAGCTCGCAACTAGTAATAAATAATAGTGAGATACTTAATTGATCTTTGTGGAATAAACCCTCTATTTTACACTGCAGAAAAGGGATAATTTCCTCTCCTTAAAACACATTATTACTGAGCCTCTTAATGCCACCTGCTATAGTGAGCTCACTCTCCAATCATTGCTAAAATCCCCTTCACCTTCCCCAAAATATTCAGCAGAGAGTAGAAAGATAATAACTGAGGCAAAGACAGGAAGGCTATGTAATTAAGATAGAACACTGATCTTACAAGTTAGAATCCTTTAGATATCAAAGTATACATTTACACAGCTCCTTTCTTGTTGGTAGGAGAGTGCTTCACACTGCTGGCAGGGTGCCCGAACTGGTATCCTTTCCATCTATAAAATACCCAATTTAATTTGGTGATTCACCAGAGAATCAACCACTTGTTGTTGCACATCTTCTGCTTATTGAAACAGATGATGGTGATTTATTTAGCAGCAGCTATCTATTTAGATTGTATTCTCTTGGGTGTAGAGAAGGAAACCGTTGTTTTTATGAATTTGCAATGATTGTACTTTTATCCAGCAAAAGCAGGATATTTTAAAGTAATCTGATTGTTTCTCAGATTCATCGAGGAAGCAATAATTCTCTCAGCAAGCTGATTCAGCAATCCTACCATAGCACCATGCCAACCGTCTCTGTCAGTGGTCTCAATGCTATCCGAATGCTCTTGGAGATAGGACTGGATAAATTGCAGAGGGATTACATAAACTATTTTATAGGTATGTTGCCGGGCAGATGGTTTATTGTGGAATAATGAGTCTAGGGTTTATATTGTTTAGTTCTTGGTTGTAATTTTGTACTTTTTCTGGGGGTAGATGTTTAGCAGCGCCTTGGAGCTTTTGTATGATGTGATGGTGGGGGGAGTGGGGGGAAGATAATGAACATAGCATTCAGGATTTGTAATTATATATAATAAAATGGAAGAACTTCTGAAAACTTGTTTTTCTTCCAGGTCAAGAACTGACAACGTTGAATTACTTGGTAAGGACTGTGAATCTGATCTCAGAATTACTTGAGCTTTTCTTTCATATCTAAGCGCTCCCCGAGATGCTATCCACGTGAAGGGTGCTAATTACAAGTTGTTGTTGTTATTTGTTTCATCGTCTCCTGGTGTTTGTTCGACAGGATTACTTTTTGGTGTCGACCGTGCGTCCAGAGGAGCAGGTACAGCGTCTGCACAAGCTGCACCACGTGCTGGAGCTGGTGGTGACCTGCAGTGCGTTCCTCAGCCTGAGTCACGAGAACCTCTTTGCACTAACACAGTGAGCGCTTCAGACAACTCGAGCATTCCAGTAAAAATAAGTAGTCTTGAGTAGAAAGAAATGACAAGGATAGCTGTGTCTTGTAGCAGCACAGGTTTTATGCCTGAGCAGTGAGGACAGCCCAATTGCAGCATTTTGTCTGAGAATTTGACAACCAGTCTTTTGCTTCATAATAATTTTTTTTGCAACATGTTTTATCCCTCTAATTCCCTTTGATGGTAATTACCACTCCCCGTTTGGTAATGGTAATTACGTTCAATTTAAAGGCTTCAGACTTATAATTGCAATAATGCATTTAAACTACTGTATTTTGATTTTAATGTCTTAAAGATTTTAAGTAGATACAAAACTATTTTATTTTTGTCTGCCCTGCCATTCTGTCACATTTTTATACTCGCTCTTCCCGGACTTTCTTGTGACAGATCTTGCATACGATACTACAAAGACAATCCATTGGATGAACGACATTCTTTTCAGCTGCCAATCAGACCCACAGCTATCAGTGCCTACTATCAAAAGTAAGGGTTATGTTTAATAGCTTGTCAATTCAACAGGAGAATTAGCTTTATTGTAAATATATTTTTTAACAGTTTCCAAGGGAGATATTTTGAAGAGGTCATCTTATTTGACGTGATTTATGCAAATCAAATCCAGTTAAAATCTATTAGAAGTCTGGATGTGGTCTGCAGTCTGCTGCGTAAATCCATTGGAATGTGTAGGAAAGGGACCACTATTTATTCCTTACTCTATTGAAACCAATGTGGAATTAGATCTCATGGGAAATAATGACTGTGTAGCATGTTTTGCTTTGTATTTAGTAAAATCTATTTCTGGTTTAGTTCATTCTTGCATTTAGCATATGCATAATAAAAACATACAGGCATACAGTGAATGGAGCAGAAATTGAAAAGACCTTGTGATTTCTGTGCTGCACTGAATGTGCAATTTTAATTATACTATAGGGCAAAACTGAATTATAGACATACAAAACCGGTTAGAAAAGCGGCTTCCATCAGATATTGAATGCTCTCAAGTGCTCCTGAGACGCTGGCCCTTGTGAAGGGCACCATATAAATGCAAGTTGTTGTTGGGTTTAATATCCTAACTGACTGATTGTGTTGCAGTGAGCACCCGTTCATGTGGAGAGTGGAAGTTATTAGTGGTCATGGGCAGAAAGAGGTGAAGACAACATGGCAGCTCAATACCAGACCTCCAGTAGATCATGTGATGTTTGATACTCCAGGTAAAGTCCTTTTGGTATCTGAGTTATTTTCCTTTTACCTAATCGCACACATGGAGCCCTCCCTCCGAGTTACCATTGATGGCCGAGCCTTCATTCCGTCTCAAACGTCTGGAACTATGGCTGTATCCCGCTGCCTTGCTCCCACACCCTCTTTATCTTTAATCCCACCTTAAAACATACCTCATCAGCTCTATGGTCACCTCCTCCCTCCCCTTTCTCCCTAAACCCTGCCACTGTGAGGGGTTTCAAACCTCCTACAAAAAAGGCTCTATGTAAATACAAGTTTTCATGAATTTCTGAGTTGCTAATATTTCACTCCTGACCCATGTTAGAACTAAAATGTAAACTGCAGTGGATCCCATTATGATTTGATAGTTGGTTACAAACACATGACCTGTTAAGCTAAATCCTGGGCACAGTATAGTTGCAAACGCAATGTTACAGAATTGGTAGAACATGTCAATATTATTGCTATTGCCTCTTTTTAAGATCTATCGATTGATACAACTTTGAATGGTGACCACGAGGAAGTTGTTCGTTACAACACGGTGATCAGCTGCAGTCAGACAAGCTTCACATAATCATCTGGCAAAAGGTAAATGCAACAAATATGGATATTACCCTTTTAAAATCTTCTCCAGTGCAAAGGCACGGCACAGGACGGCACATTTTCTCTCCCACGTGGTGAACTTACACTTAGTTGCACCAATACTGAGAGCCAGTAACGTCTCACAAATTGGCCCGAAGTGAACAGCCAGTTTTATATGGAGGATTGTTGACCAGAACAAACGCTGTTCTCTTTTTCGAATAGAACCACAGGATCTTTAACATCTACCTGAACAGGTTGACGGGACCTCGGTTTCATCCGAAACACAACAGTGTAGCACTCCCCCAGAACTGTATTGGAGTGCCGGCCTGGACTGAGTTCAGAGTCCCGACACGGGACTTAAACCCACACCTTCTGACTGAGGCGAGAGTGCTACCAACAGGGTCAGGCTGAGGCCAGGCTTTATGCAAATGTGCTCCAGGATCAATCGGCCTTCCAGAGAGACAAAAGGAGAAAATTGGTTAAAATATTCTCAAAATGGAGTTTGAAGTCCACCTAATAATCTGTCCTATTGAAAATGCATATTTGAGTTGTGATTGTATCTATTTTTATATAATTTGGGAGCACGTTACACTTTTTCTTGTGTAGAGTTACTGTTGAGAAATAAATTTGGAATATTGCAAGCTGGGCAAGGAATCGGCATGAATTTTATTTTACGAAGATTGTTTTATCTTAGATACATTGTCAATGTAAAACTCCGACCTCTCAGGCCATTAACATATCAACCAAACGAGACAAAATATGCCCGACTCAGAAATATTGAATTGTTAATATCTTGGAAGAGAAGAGTTGAAAAGAAACCTGCTTTGTATCTAACGGTAATACTATTACTACAAACGATGTACTAATTTACTATAGTGTTCAAGGTTACCAGTCACTCGAGTGATTGCTCAACTCACCTGAACTTCAACTCAAAATTACCGTGTGCCATCATCTATACTTTTCTCTGATGTATATCATAGGCTCAATAAATGCATGCTGACCAGAGTTCAAGGCACTAAAATGATATTAATTGAAGACTCTTAGATGTTAGTGTGACTTTATCAAGGCAGAATGAGTGTATAATTGTAATATGCAGATCTCTTCAGAAATTAATTACTACAAATTTATAATAAATTAATAAGAGCCAGTGGAAAGCAACACATTCACATCATAATTTATTACAGAGTTGCTCTCCACTGGCACTTTGATGTTGCCCTAAATCTGCAGTAACATCTGTCACAATACATAGCAGTTAATATCTTCCAATTACAATACTGAACAAAATGTTAATACTTTGTAAGAGGAAAAAAAATCACTTTTATTCCATTAGGCGCAGAATATATGAGCAACTGTGTAATAGGTATTTCTATTTCAGTGCTGAGGAACACCCACACAATTTTCTCGTGACAGTTCTGTATCTCCCTCTATTCAGTGTACAAAAGGTTGCTGGGCTATTCTATGTCTGCACTGATGGGTTGACCAACTTTATTCAGCCCACGTCTTCCTAAACCACAAACCAGTCTAGAAGGTTGTACTATTGTCAACACATGCTGCAGTAAAACGTATCAGTTGCTTGGTAAAATTCTCACGTGAAGAGGTTGTTCTGCAAAAGCATGGTCTTTATTTTACAGAAAAGCCTTGTGTGTGTGTATGATTTGCTGCTTGCTGCAAACTTGTGAGAAACAAGTAGTTGTGTAGTTATGTGGTCTATTTGGGGAAGTAATATTATCAAGGGTTATAAGCTGTTGCACGAATGACTAAAATTTCAGCCATGGGCAGGAGGTTTTATAATGATTGACTGTACTGTACTAACAGCAGAGATTTGATTCATATCTTCGGGGTCAGGAATAGAGAGGAACAGATTCAGTACTTCCTGAATCAGTCGTGTTGCGATGGTCACGATGCTAGCCGTAGCTGTTCAGTGCTTCCGAAGTAAAAACATCAGGAAAACGGCACTCAGGAGAATGCAAAGGGTGCTTACGGTCGGCACAACTATCTCGGTCACCATTTCCATTTGATTGACGAGAGGGTCTGAAAGTGGAGGAGGGAGAAGAAGAAATACATCGTCACAGTACAATGGGTTAGATGGGATTGATTGATTGTTTTTTGAGAGAGTTTAGTGCTCACCACCTCATCTATCTAAACCAAGCAAGTGCATACATATTAACAGGTTATAAAATGTCCCAGCATGTGCCTGATTTTTAACATTACCATTTAAAAAAATTGTGTGTTGCATTATGTTTACCATGAATTAGTCTGAGAATATTGGCAGCAGTGATCCGCTGTTCCTCTAATTTTAAAGGAAAAAGCTAATTACTGAAGTATTAAATTCCCTTTTGAAATGCATAAGTTGCAGAGAATGATGTTTAATTGGGGCGCAATCATACAGCGGTCATTTCATAAACTGCTCCATTTTATAAACCGTTTATATGTATGACATATTCTGATTTTCAAGGAATAGTGGAATTCCAGCCTTATGATTGTTTTGATTTAAATTGACGTAGCTGTTTGTGGTGGTGGGTGGGGGGGTTCACACCAGTGGCCAATTTACACAGCTCAGTGTCTTGTGGGCAATGCCAATCGCACTGAAAAGATTAATCGGTCATTTTCGTAATTGACTGCAAGTTGATTCAGTTAGTTGTCTGTTGGGAAAATAACCGAGTCAGTACCACATCCATCAAATGCTAATGCAGATAAACTCGGAACAAGTAACGTGTTCTGTTTATTAATCCTGCTGCCTTATAAGTATGAAGGGAATGGGTGTGCGTAGCTCTGTGTAAAGTTGGCCGAAAGACCCTTTCCCACGATCTATATTTCTATGTAATCAGTGAAAATGTATAAACTGAGGAGTTTCAAAGACCCACAGTATCCCCCCAAGGCTTCTTTCAATCTGAGTGATCTAAGAAGTGTTGAAAGATTCTCATACAAGGAAACCATAAGATTACAGCCAAATATTTAATCGTTCATGAACCGGATATAAACAACGTTGCACTTGTACCATGAGTGTTGCTTCTGCAAATAGGAGTCACTTTCAAGGCTTGAACGTAACCGAGATTCTACTGAGGTGATTCCTAGTCCCTAACGCCTAAACTTCATCGTGCACTGGCCAAACCTTTGGCATGTCTGCCTGCTCCTTATTTGTTCGGTCTGTTCTTCTCGCTGAAAAGGGCAAACAGAACAATCTGTTAGACTATGTTTGACGCCTTTTTCTTTGTTACTTTTAGTGCAAGAGTGACATGCTCGCTCAATTCCTTTTAATAGTAATTAAAAATCCTCCCTAGCCGGGAGTTTTGAGGCAAACTGTAGCATCAACTGTGCTTGGATGAGTTGACTTAGTACAAATCATGGAAATGAACCAAGTAAACAAACTACCTATCTGCTGAGTGATTGCACAGAGCAAGTCTAGAGTATTTGCAAGATCTGAACAAGCTTCATCTCATTAAATTTATATTATATGAAGCACTTCGAGACGTCTCAATGACGTGATGAGGCGCTATCTCAAATATAAGGATTACATACATTAGGCAGTTTCTTATTGCTGTTTGCCTGTGTTTTGGCACCGCCAATGTGTTTGCTTATTTAAACTTTTACCCCCTGTGTTTAATCTACCTTATTTTCACTTGACCTTTGATTTCTCTTCTTCCGCCTAGCATGCACTATTTCCTAGCAAAGTGGATTTGGTCTCGTGCCACTCTCAAACCAGCCTTCTGTGGAGAATAACCTGATCTGTTAGGTACTGTGAGTTTTCAGCCCGGCCAAGATTGTGAATACCAGCAACCAAGCCATAACTTTCTGATTTGGGCTTCTATCATCCTCTTACGTGTCATGCTCAGTTGCTTAATTTTGAAACAAATGGCATATGAAAGAATATTTCCCCGAAATGTCCCACAAGCCAGGAGAGGGAATTTTATTTAATGATTGGAATTCAGATCATGCACTCGATTTAACACTCTATATCAATATTTTAAAGGTGACGTCAAACATAGATGTGACAGACTATGCTTTCAATTCCCAGAGGTGGTTCCCGTTTTAAAGCATTAATGCTGATGAACTGAATATGACGAGTGGTCGCTTTGTTTGCCATTTTCGAACGAGGGTAGAAATCGATCTGATGTCAAAACAGCAGCAAACACTTACCTTTCCAGGCAGTCAACTGAAGCAAAGTTGAACTGCATTCAACAAGACCAGCAGCAACAACAACAAAACCATGTAACCCAAGCTGGTGGCACCTATTAAATCTCATCGGCAATTGACTCATGAGACCTCTGCTCCCAGTAGAGATGCCCTGAAGCCAAGGATCTCTGCGATGTGCAAGTGATTGGGTCATTTTGCCATCATTAATGTATTTTTCTAATTCTCAATGTGTTCCCTTGTTTGTAGCACTCTGGAACGCTACCCTGTTGTTGCTGGATACCAATTCCCCCTCCACCTTAGTGAACCAACTGAGCAAATGGGCGAAAATACAATATTGCTCTCTTTGTGGTGAACATATTGCAATTCTGCCCACTCTGGATTTCTCCACAATGTGACTACGTGTGAACTTGTAAAACTCGACGCCTTTTGTTTTTCGATGGGATAGCATTTCCTTCCCTCTTTAAAATCTTCATGGTGCAAAACACCAAAGCGTTTGCAATGAGGGAGCTTTCCACTTGGATCCACCTGTGAATTCCGTGGAGATTACATGGAATAAACCTGCGTGACAATGCCAAATGGGTGTGGATTGCCCTACCTGCCGCAAGCAGCATGTTCGTGGTGAAACAGGCCTCCGTAGCTTTGCGTTTCCAACTCTCAATCTGAGGGAAGAGAAATATACGTACATCATTCACCACGAAAAAACACAAATTATAGCTCTGAAATAAAGGCATCAGACGTCCAACTCCTGCAGTGTGTGGGTAGGTGGGTGGAAGTGAGTAGGTGGAGAAGCTGTGTCAACAGTGGCTCTTTCCTGTTCACAACATGAACCTCCCTCACGCTGACTGACTGACTGACTGACTGACTGTCTGAGCTGGCAGACTTCATTAAGAATTGCTATGTATTCTCAGTCAGACAGAATCTAGGAGGTCTGCACAGTTAGAGCGGGAACAGTAGTGTAAGGATTGAAGAGATATTGTGTTTGTTATCCTATAGCAAAGATGGGGGAACATAATGACGAGTAAAGTGTAATAAAACTGCTCAGCAGTACCAAATAGATTGTTTAGATCTGGACCTTACTTTGTGAGGAAATTGCGTGGTGGATTCACGTTGTTAACACGGGCCACTCTGCTACTCTGATTGCAGGAAGTTTAATCTGAGAAAATTGTCGGAACGAGTGAATTGGATAAAGTGCACTGCGGTATGTCACGTGGGCACCACCACATGTGCTGGTGATTTCACTGAAGTATCTTTTTGTTTTGTCGGTTGCTGACACAGCCCTTCACCAGAATGCACACCATCGCCTCTTTCATTGTCAGGCTTCGCTTGCGAAGTTTCATAATGTTCCGTAAAAATAAAATGCATTTGGGTATTTTACTATAGGTTCCATTTTTTTAAAATAGGAATTTATTCAGTCGAGTCCAGGATTGATTTTTTTCCACATTGTTCCTGCCTGTCCAGACTGCAGAGCCCCACAGCACGTCAGTTTTATTTATTTGATGGGTGGAGAGAGAGACCTAACAAACAACTACAACGATTCTCCCCAGTGCTAGTAATGGGAAAGGCCACGCTGAAGTCTAAACTAAAAGTGTCGCAAAGGTGTTAGTGTCGAGAAGAATGATTTGAAAGAGAAGACGAATGGGGATACTTACTTCCTTACGGTTGGGGAATCCGTTCGAGCTGAGCAGCCTCTTGTAGTACTGAACCGAGGCCTTCGGATACCTCTTCTTGTTCTTACTCTGAAAATCGACGTAGTACAATCCGAATCTTTCTGAGTAGCCTTCGTCCCACTCAAACTTATCCAGCAGTGACCACCAAGTGTATCCCTTCACATTAGCACCGTCCTTAATAGCTGAAAAAGGTTTCAAAATCAGACAGAACCATCAACCGCTTGGTGCGCACTTCCTTCTAACCAAAATGGTGGGTGTAACTAACTATCAGGAGGACAAAGCTTAAATGAGGGGAGTTTTCCTCAACTCACCTTTAAGCATTTCGTTCACGTAGAGCTTCATGTACTGTATACGCCATTCGTCGCAGAGCTCATTGCAGTGCTGCTTCTCAGACACTCCATTCTCCGTCACATAGATCATGGGATTTCCATATCGGCTCTGAAAGAAATTAGAATTAGGGGTGAATCGCTGGGAGATATTGCCATTGGCTCACACGCTCCCAACACCCTCCTCCACCACCAATACCTTGATATAATTCAGAATCCTCCTGAAGCCCCAAGGGACAGAGTACAGCCACTCGGAGCCTGGGTCTGGCCACTGAGGATCGACCAGTTCAGCCAGGTCGCGGTCTGTGTGGTAGCTTGGTCCCTTGTTGTAATGATGAACCTTGTGGGTGATGTAGCGAGTGGTGAAATGGCCCAGGCCAAAGAAATCGGACGTGCCTTTGATGTAGTTTTTCTCCTGTGCTGTGAAGGAGGGCAGCCTCGAGACACTCAGGCCTTGCTGGGTACTCTTCATGGCTGGAAATACAGCAAAACGTGAGAGTAATCAAAAAGAGTTGAGGTTCGTGTGGGTAAAGCTCCCCTTCCTCTTCCTATCTGTGAGTCAGTAACTAGAGGGCATCAATTTCACATGGTTGGTATAAACGAGCAAATGGGTTAGGAGAGATTTTTCACATGCAGAGTCCAGTAGTTAGGATATGGAATGCCCTGTCGGGAGCAACGGTTAAGGCAGAATCCATATTAACCGTCAAGAGGATTAATATGGACAAATATCTTAAAAAGAGTCAGCTGCAGAAGTATGGGGAACAACAACAACAACAACAAGATTCCATTTATAGAGCGCCTTTCACGTCAGGAGGACGTCCCAAGGCGCTGCACAGTTGGGTCATGACCCGAGCAGGGGGAAATGGTCAGGGTGAGGGGAGGGAAGGGAGGGAGAGAGGAGGGGGAAATGGTCAGGGTGAGGGGAGGGAAGGGAGGGAGCGAGGAGGGGGTAGAGAGTCGAGAGGGGAGCTGAAGGCCGGTCAAAGAGAAAGGTTTTGAGACCGGCCTTGAAGGAGGAAAGGGAGGAAGTGGCGAAGGCACTGGGGGATGGAGTTCCAGAGCCTCGGGGCTGAGAGGCTGAAGGCCCGACCACCGATAGTAGGGCGGTTGGGGCGGGGGACGTGGAGCAGACCGGAGCCGGAGGAACGGAGGGTACGGGCAGGTAGGTAGGGGGATAGTAGGTTGGAGAGGTAGGAGGGAGCAAGGCCGTGAATGGCCTTGTAGGTGAAACAGCCAGGGAAATGGGACTAAAATGATCGCTCTTGAGGGAGCCATCACAGACACAACAGGCCGAATGGCCTTCTTCTGTGGCTCCATCTATTTAAAACATTCTGATGCAAGCCGAGCTTCCAGTTCTTTTGAGTGTAATTTGCAATGCATAATGGGTTTCCTTTTAAAAGGAATATCTTAAATGTTGCCAGTTGTAAAGACAGCACATAATATAGTATAATAATAATAATCCTTGCATTTGATATAGCGCTTTTCACGTCGGGAGGACGTCCCAAAGCACATAGATCTATTATAAATAAATCATGTCAAGTGTGTATGTATCCTCTGATTATTTACCCACTTACCAATACAGTCTTTCATAATTTGAGGGTAGTCACCATTGAAAATCGGGTTGGCAAACCATCCCAGGTAAAACTGCAGGTACCTTTCAGCAGCCTCGATGTCCTTTTGACTTGCGATATCAACCGGCTCTCCCCATTCGCTTGTGATGGATATGCCCACCATCCCTTTGGTAGGTACAAATTGAAAATATTAGTCTGATCAATTTGAATGGCACAAAGGTCAATGATTCAAATGCTAATGTATCAAGTGCTGTGTATGTCCTGCAATTTCCAATGTTGCAGCATGTCAGTACAATGCTGGGGCAAATTGTACTACAATTCTTGCATGATACTTAGGGCCGACAGATTGGGGTGGGGCACGGTTTAGCTGACTTGGGCATTGAAAGATAATAACAACAAACTGCCTTTATGTAGTGCCTTTCACGTCAGGAGGATGTCCCAAGTCACTGGAAGATCCCATGAAACTTAAATTCATATTGCCTTTGTACAGTGGCATCAGTGGAATCCTACTCGGTGCCAGTTTTCATTCCTTTGGGATGATGTGCTTTACATTACATTCAATCAAACCTCTTTACGCTCGTAACTTAACTACACAAACTCCACGCAAAATCCTGTGAGATATGGTGGTACTATGTTGAGATCAGACACGTTATAGATACCTTTTTGCCGGCTCCGCCAGCGATTGTCATACGTGTGCCAAGCCTTAGCGTGAGCCTGTAAAAACAACCATTGGTGTTTAGAATGTTAATGTTACTTTATGGGCAGTTTGTTCAAATAACTTTCTTCCTCTGCCACTTAGTTTAAATTTTCAGACTAACTCTGCTTTCGTGAGCACCAACAACTTCCCTCCATCATCGTAGATTTGCTCTAATCTGCATTTTGTCCATTGTGCTGTTACGTCTGCTGATTTTACCAAAGACAAGAACAAGGGCAGAGACTGACCTTAATAATGTTATGTGCTGCTCTGTAAGCTCCTGTTCCTCGAAGCCTTAAGCCTGGTGCGTGCTGTCCCAGTTCATATCCTTCCACAGCTGTGGACTACAATGCAAAGTACAGTGACTTCAGTGTTAATGTGGAATCGCTTCCCAAAGATGGTATTCTTTTTCTTAATGTAAAGTAAATTTTGGGACGCTCCCCCGCGTGAGGGGCGCTGTATAAATGCAAGTTATTGTTGTTGTTAACAAAATGCAGATCATTTTGACAAAGTCACCAAAAGACAAATAATTTCTAAAATGTAGATCTGCACATCGGCGCAGGGCTGTGGAGGAGCCCAACAACAACAACAACAACAGCAAATTGCAATTATATAGCCCCTTTCACGTCAGAAGGAAGTCCCAAGGCACTGAATAAAACTGCAAGTGTTCGTATCGTTCAGTTAACTGATGGACATTGTGACATGACATAAAACATACCCAAGGGTTGTTGAAAGTAATCCAGCGTTTCACACGGTCACCGAATTTTTCAAAGCATAGGTTGGCGTAGTCATTGAAAAAGTTAATCATACTGCTGTTCTGCCAGCCCCCATATCTGTCCTGCAGTACCTGTCAAGAGGAAGGTTTCTCTGGTGAACTGTTGTCTGCCGTAAAAGGAGATGTTCCATCTGGTACAGAAGGATCATTCCAAACCATTTCTGACGTGTGTCGTCCCCGGAGACTATGTAGCTTTGCAGGCAGCCTGACAAATGTTCTAATGAAAGTCATCCAAAAATATAATCTATCTTTCTCTTCCAGAAAGGGTTTGACCTGCTGTGGATTTCCAGCATTTCTGCTTTCAGTTACAGACGAGACCACATTAAGTATAATAATCCTTGCATTTGGCATTGGGAGGATTTTACTGTGAAGTACAGTGACTGTATTTAGTGGGCGAATGCGGCAGATAATTTGTGTACAGCAATGTCCCACAAACAGCCATGAAGCCAGTGACCAATTTTTTTACTTGGGGCGTTGTTGGCAAGAACACCGGGAGAGAGAAAAACTCCCTTCTCTTTACGAATAGTGCCATGAGATGAAGACTGGCAGGCAGTTCGGATCCCTGGAATAACAGGAACTTCCTTGCTAAAGCAATATTTTTTAAAAATTACACAAATAACGCTCAACATTGTTTCGCTGACCTGCGGAAGATCCCAGTGGTAAAGAGTCGCTATGGGCTGGATCTTGTTCTCCATCAGGGTGTTTATTAAGTCATTGTAATACTGGATCCCCTTGTCATTTACCCGATCATCTGTGGAGAGAAACAAGTCATGGAACTAGGCTATTTGGCCTAGCCTAGAGCTAGCTCGTCCATTGAAGCCAACTGCTCAAAACCCTGCTCTTTCCTCGAACCTTTTTGTATGCTTCCTCTCCAAGTGTGATAGTCTCAGCCTCAATACAATAATCATTACATTCGATACAGTGCTGATAACATTCAAAACAAAACATCTCCAAAGTTCTTCAAAGGTATTTGCCTTCAAGTGTGGTGACTGTGTTTACATGTAGGCAAATAGCAATTTGTGGCTAAAGATTCTAAAATTCTGTGGGAAAATGTTTCTTCCATCTTTCCCCTTAACTCAATCAATAACAAATTTAAATTTATTAACACGGTGCTAAATAGGACAAGTGTTTCCATTCACTTTCCTTTACAAATAAATTAATTCCTTTCATTTTCTTTCTTCCTTAGCTCACCAATGTTAATCTCTGGATTACAACTGTTATGCAAGAATTATAGCAAGTTCTCCCAGCCCTTACCATTTCCTTTCTATAAACTCTAAACCTTTGCGATTGGCAAATGTTACCTTTTACTCCAGTTGGAATGATCCGAGGCCAAGAAATAGAAAAACGATATTGGTTGACTTTCAGTTCCTTCAGCAACTCAATGTCGTCCTGTTGTAAAATCAAACAGTGACCATCAACATGATTATTCTGTGAACACTGACAGGGTGGACTGGGTCCAGAGAGTGTGTTCCTTATCCTAACTTTGTCCATATTGAGTTGGGGAAGAAGATGGTTACTCTACAGACGTAATGCATAAAACTAAAACATGCATTTTGGGAACTGGGTATACGATACAGCACTGTCGTTGTGTCTGCAAGACCTAGGTTTAAATTCAGGCCAGAATAATCCTTTCATTTGATATAGCGCCTTATAACTGTCATTGAGACGTCTCAAAGCGCTTCACAGAATATATTCTGAACTGACTATATTTTGTGGGCAAAACATTATAATATGACCTATATAATATAAGGTAATACGATCTTGCTGAGGGCAAAATAAACCTGTTCCTCTGACCCCTCCACCCGCCCCACCCCGACTCACACACACACACACACACACAGAAATGATTTGAAAACTCAAAAGTGCAAGAAAGCAAATTTCTCCTTTCGTTTTTATTTTGGTGCCAAGTTGTGCTCCTACCTTGAATTTATAATAGCTTTCGCAAGATGAATCGCCCGTTTCATTCAAATACACTCTTCCCTTCTTATGTGTGAACACGTCCCAGATGCTCAGTCCTTTCCCATCTTTATCCCACGCTCCTTCTGTCTGGTAAGCAGAGCTTCCACCTCCCCATAAAAAGCCTACCAAAAAAGGGAATTTATGTCTTTATTTATGTTAATAACAATCCTTGCATTTGATACAGCACTTCATCGAGACGTCTCAAAAGGGCTTCACATGATATAGTGTAAAGTGGATTGACTGTATTTTGTGGGCAAAACGCAGAGCCAGTTGTGCACAGCAGCGTCCCACAAACAGACATCGATTAACCAATTTTGTTTGGGGAGAAAGAAACTCCCTTTTCTTTCCGAGTAGAGGGATCTTTAACATCCACCTGAACTGATGGTTTAACGTCTCATCCGAAGGACGGCACCCCCGAGAATGTGTCGGAGAATATTTTCCCCTGTATTCTTATGATGTCGAATAACTTTACCAGCTGGGAAAGTGGCATAATAGAAGGAGCCTTGATAGGTTTGCGTCCATTCGAATTCCTCAGACAGACACCGAGGCAGGACCAGTAGAAAAGCACAGCACCCAAGTTGATAAACCCAGAGGTGCATCTCTCTTCAGATTTAATCCAGCAGCACTCGGCTGACGACTCCTATAGCAGAACCTCCACTCAGCAACCTGCCAGGAAATAAATGCCAGGAGAGAGAGAGAGAGAGAAGAAAAAGCTATTTAAAAAGATGCAGTAAAACTATCGCTAGACAATAAGCATCTCTAATAATAAGCAGAGAAGTAGTACTGCATTAAACAGCCACAATTAAAGGACACAAATTGCCCCCCCACCCGTTGTTTTATTCTATTGGAAAATTGAATATGAAAATATAATTATTTTATAACAAAAGCATCATTGGATAAATACTTCCGACTCAAATCAATGATGACATTAAAGTTTTTGCTTAAGTATTAATTAATAAAGAAACATCTTTAACACTCAAACACTCTTATATTTACCTTTTATCCTTTCCACATTTATCCAGGCCCGGGAGAGAACCCTCCGACTACCAGAAACAAAAAACGTTAAAGTATCCACAATAAATTCACCAACTCCCAAACAACCCTCTCACAAAAGTCAAAACCAACAAAATGTCTGAGGAACAATCTAGCACCAGCTCCATTTATCACTTCCCAAACAAATATGTGGAAAGGGGCAGAAAATGCCTATTCAAGTGCAATGATGCATCAATAAATTTAGCTTAGCCTCACAAAACTGTTTGTTTAGGCCGGGATCCTTAGGTAAGCAAACTTTTTTTTTGTATATGTGAAATAACAGGCTATTTATTTACTGACGCCATTGACAACTGATGAGTTATAAGAGGCCGAGTGGTGTTCAATATGAATCAGAACTGAATGCAAACCAATAGGTAGTTAGGGAGCCATCAACAAAGTGCATCACAAATGAACTAGCAATGGACAAACGAGATGTAAGCTGCACAGTCCGTTCACAACAACAATTCCCCCTTTACAAAGCGATGTTATTGCACATGACAAACCTTAAATGTTATTGCAAAACAATATAGAATCATACAATCATAGATGCAGCACAGAAGAGGCCATTCGGCCCATAGTGCCTCTGCTCTTTGAAAGAGCTATCCAATTAGTCCAACTCCCTCTCTCGTTCCCCGTAGCCTTGCAATTTTTTTTCTTTTCGGGTAAACATCTAATTCCCTTTTGAAACTTATTATTGAATCTGCTTCCATCACCCTTTCAGGCAGTGCATTCCAGGTCGTAACAACTCTATATTGATATTGTCGCTCAATTTCCGGTTTTGGGGTTTCTCTTTTTATTTGTACTTTTGAATTATTCAAAAGAATAATATTTCTTGAGCTCCTGAATTGCAAAAACAAAAAAAAATCGCTCTTTTGACAGTTCACCTTTTGCCTTTTGGTTCTTGCATGGAGAGAATGGAGATGTTATGATTGTTCCCGGCCTTTTGTAACGCTTTTAGCATATCAATAAACTCGGGGTCAGTTGCAGGAACCATCTATAGCACAGCTGTAATAATCCACCCATTGATGTTGCTGTGTGTATTTAACCTGCCCCCTTCCTCGAACTTTGGGACTGAGATCGAAATTACCGAGGTCCCTAGAGCAGCAGAATAAATCAGGTAGGGTTGCGTTTGCTGAACACTTCCAACTCTGAACGTTTCTCTTTCGCACGGATGTATTTCAGTTGCCTTGTTGTGTCTAAAATATTGTCACGGAATTGTTGGTAAAAAAAAAACAACACGCAAAGCCCTGAAATTTCTTAAGATCTTAACCTTGACATCATTGCCTTACATTTTAAGTTATAGTTTGATAATTTGGGAAATTATTCAATTCTGCCCAAGAACTGCAGAACTTCCAAATACAATTTTCCACAAAAGACCCTTTTCTTGATCCGTTCTCTCTCATGTTCTTATAACACTGTATAGCGTATTGGTTAGAGCGCTCTCCTCGCAATCGAGAGGGCCCGGGTTCGATTCCCGGGTAAGGCGAAAACCTTAGGTGAGTTTCCTTACTCCACGCGCCTCTGTTAACCTAGCAGTAAATAAATAAATAATATGGTCACTCAATCTGTTTGTGGGACACTGCTGTGCACAATTGGCTGCTGCATTTTGCCCACAAAATATAGTCATTACACTTTACAGTATATCCTGTGAAGCGCTTTGAGATGTCTCGAAGACATGATAAGGTACTAAGTCAAATGCAAGGATTACTATTGTAAAAATGGAATGACTTCCTCGTTCTCTCTACAGCAAGCTGGGGTCTGTACTCCAACGGGCTTTTCATGGGTCTGATGGCTGCGTGAGTACTTCTGCTTTAAGTGCTGTGGGACTCTAACCTGCGAGAGGGGCTCTGTATAAATGCAAGTTGTTGTTCTTGGTGTTGTACCAACTATGCCATATTAGTCATGGTTCTGATGTTGATAAGCTACTGGTGAATATGGGTTTGAAAATGAGATGTTTGCAACCTGGAAGTTGCAACATTAATAGTGACCCCTGGTTTGCCATTGCAGCTGAAGATGTGATTTGGGAGTTTCTCAACCAAGAAAAGGCACAAAAAGTACAAGGTCGGAAAGTGAAATAATGGCATTGCAATTTTTCCCCTAATATCATAAGCGTATTTGTTAGTAAATCCCGCAATATCACTCCCAAACCAGAGGTCATTGTTAGAGCATTTTCAGCCCCCATGTCTGGTGGCCCATATCCTGATGTTTCTTGTCTGTCTCAGGTGATCCTTTACGACCAAAGGAACTTCACCGGCCAGAGGTTAGCAGTGACCAGCGACTGCCCGAGACTGTCAGAGCGAAACTTCCCCGAGAGATGCAATTCGGTGCAAGTTGAGGATGGAGTGTAAGTAATAATAATAATTCTTGTATTTAATATCGCACCTTATCACGCCGTTGAGACGTCTCAAAGCACTTCACAGGATATACTGTGAAGTGAAATGGACTGTATATTTTGTGGGCGAAACTCGGGTGCCCATTGCACACAGCAGCGTCCCAGTCGTGGATTGAGATTCTCCACCAGTTCCTACATTCACCGACTTTACGTGGAATTGCAGACAATGCAATCCACACTGGTGCTGAAGAATGCTCTACTGCATAAAACGTCTGAGTGAGAACAACAGTTTTATGCAACTGCAAGTTGTTGTTTATATGTAAACTTTACTTATATAATCCGACTTCCTCATATCCCATGGAAAGTTCCTCACAACAGCAATGTTGTTCTCCACTGATGATGATCCCATTCTTTATTAGGAACCTAGTAGATGATAAATAATAATAATAATAATAATAATAATAATCCTTGCATTTGATATAGCGCTTTTCACGTCGGGAGGACGTCCCAAAGCGCTTCACAGAACACACTGTAAAGTGAATTGACTGTATATTTGTGGGCGAACGCGGCAGCCAATTGCGCACAGCAATGTCCCACAAACAGTCGTAGATTGAAAATGACCCAATTTTTTTTTTATTATTGTTTTTTGGTTTTTTTGGAGGGATTATTATTATCTTGTTGATACTCGTCAACAAGGTGATGTCTCACCACTGTAATCATAGACAGACTGCAGACATGGTTGTGATCTACATTACATTCTCTTTTCCCTCTCCCTTTCACTCCCTGTTGCAGTTGGGTTGGGTACGAGGGTGAGAACTACAGTGGTCGCCAATATCTGTGGGAAGCCGGTGACAATCGAGATTACGGCAGCTATGATAAATGGTGGGCATCAACAGATCAGATCTCCTCTGTGAGAGCAGTGAGGCAGGTGAGTCAGGTCCATAGTCCAGCCTATCTATGCGTCCTATTTGCTTACTTATTTTTGTGAACATTTCTTCTCATCAAAGCTGTAAAACTTCTCCCCTCTCTCGCTCCCTTGTTGGAAAATACCTCACTTGTAAAGATGACATAGTACTAGTTTGAAGAGCGGGAATTCTAAAATAATGATCCTTAATTTGATATAGTGCCTTTCATGTCAGGACATCCCAAAGCACTTCACAGGATATACTGTAAACTGCAGTGACTGTTTTATGGGTGAGCAAAACACCCAGTGTGCTGGCCGTAATCATTTACAGATCCAGTTCAAGATTTAATATAAGCTTCTCCCGCTTCTTTTCCCCTTCAATCCAAATAGGAGACTTCACTACCCAAAGTCCATTTGCATGAAAGACCTGGCTTTTCTGGAAGGAAAGTAGAAATTCAAGAGGATATTCCAAATCTCATGTCTCGTTTCAGTCTCGATCGCTTTGCTTCTATCAGGGTTCTTGGAGGCAAGTAAGTGCAGGAGAAGCTTACACTATTAGCAGTTTTAATCAGTGATACTTGTGTGCAAGTGTCAATGTCCTGACAGCTATGTGTTTTCTTTTAAAAAAAAAGATCAAATTTGCAGCATTTTGTAAAAATGTTTCTTAATGAATAAATCTGAGCAAGGCGGCCTCTTCTACGCTGGGAAAGCTCGTCACCCTGACTCAAAGGAAATTCCGCACCATCAATAAGTCACTGGGCTGACGTGGGGGGTGGGGGGGAGATAAGCACTCTGGAACACTATCCTGTGTGAGCGGCATTAGATGTGCAAATCGTTGTTATATGTGGAGACCTGTAGCTCAGTGGTTAGAGCACTCGCTTTGCAAGCGAGAGACCTGAGTTCAATTCCAGGCAGAGGGCGAAACCTTGGGCAAGTTTCCTTACTCCACACAGAGCCTAATAATAATCCCTCCAAAACCCAAAACAATAATAAATTGGTCATTTTCAATCTACGACTGTTTGTGGGACATTGCTGTGCGCAATTGGCTGCCGCGTTCGCCCATAAATATACAGTCAATTCACTTTACAGTGTGTTCTGTGAAGCGCTTTGGGACGTCCTCCCGACGTGAAAAGCGCTATATCAAATGCAAGGATTATTATTATTATTATTATTAAGTGGCTTTAAATTCACCTGGCGGCTGGCCAATGGACTTGTAATTTGTTTTCAATAAATCACAGCTGGGTGGGCTACCAGGAACCACATTACCGTGGACCACACTACGTTCTGGAGAAAAGAGATTACAATAGTTACAGCGAGTGGGGAGCTCCGAGGGCGACCATGGGATCCATTCGACGCATCCGCTTTCACTGAGGATTCTCGTCGCTTAAGAGCCCTGTACACCGGTAATAAAAGAGGCATCACTTTAACCTTATTTATTGACTATTCTTGGGAGCCGTGCAATTTAGCTTTCTCACGTTTGCAACCCAAACTCTCCTTGTACAAAATTTCCACGTGCGCAGACCTGTGGGAATATTGCAACAGTTTCGTTCAATACAAAATGCTGGGAAAAGCTTCGATTTCAGGGCAAAGATTGGATCATTCTGCAGGTTATACTCCTGTATAAACACTTTAACCAGCCAGAGGATACAAAAGTACAACAGAAAAGCAGTTCTCTTCCTCCTCCCGCGTCCTCCCATTTCTTTAACTCCTGTATTTCCCTCCTCCCTTCTTAAGACTGCTACACGTTTCCTAATAAAGGGTCACAGGAACTCAGCCGAGAGCTCTCCTCACCCGTGGGGAGAGGGCAGTCAGGACAAGTCTCCTGTGTTCCTTCTCTACTTCACAGTGAAGGGTGTTATATAAATGTATTAAAAACGCATTCAACCCCCTTCCCCCCACACTCTTCCCCCCCCCCCACCCCAAAAAAAAAATGAGCATTAACTTTCAGTGCATAAAGGGGAGCGTGTTCAATGCTATTGTAGGGGGAGGTTAAAGTGCACACATCAAATAGATTTAACACCTCACAGCGGCAGGACATTGCAACAGGCTCCAGATGTATTCTCCCTTTCTCAGTATTTCAGAGTATTGCACAACTTGGCAGATTAAATGCAGGCTTCATGTTGAAGGCTGCTTTCTTTTAAGCGCTTTTACGAACCACAGAAAACCGGCTTCGAGGCTGAATTGGACAAAACGCGAAATTCAGCACGTTCTGAAATGCTGAGCAAAGGGAGCAAATCTAAACCCAGTAGAATTTCTTCTCTCCCCCCCCAGCGCCCCACTCAATTTTGAATAACAGATGCACAAAATCTAAACATTTCATTAGGAACCTTTTCTATCTGCACTGGGACCTTGCTGAAAAGGGAACTGGAAGCAAGGTTCAACATGTGGCACAAATAATACCATATGTCCTATAATATTTACAGTGTTGGGGAAAGAAAGCAACAGAAAGTCAAGATGTTCACCGATAATCTCTATGAATTTACTTACTTCAGAGGCCAAATATTTGAGCAACGAAAACCTGAGCTCACATAGAAGGAACTGGCAATTGGGTTACAAATGTCCCCAGAAATTGAACAGCGCTTAATTGTGAAGATGAGGAACATGTACAAAGCAGACCAACGGCAGGTGTATTCTATTCTTTTGCTGAATACAGTACTGGGCAACAGTTCTGACTTGCCCTCCCAATCTGCAGTATTGATCATCTACTATTAGACGTGCTTAAATTACATCAATAAATGGTAGGGATCATTGCACTGGGACAAAAATTATACTGGAATATTTCAATTTGCTACTAAGGTCCAACATGAAACATATGGATATATTTTCTTGGGCTTCCACAAGATCAGTATATCTTAACGTCTCAACCTCTGGTTTTCCTACTTCGTGTTTTTCACAGCTTTTGTTGCGCCAACAATGTACAGTGCATCTTTATTTGCGAATCAGAGAGTTAATCGTAAATTTTTCTCTCTCGAACACTATTTACATTAGCATCTGATGGGTGGCAGAATAAGTTAGATATCTGGAACTCAGCACAATATTTCAGCAATAAGCAGATTCCAGGTCACAGATAAACCATCAGTTGTGTCCTGTCTTCTTTGCTAATCAGTTCTCTGGCAACTGTTCCTGGTGTCTCATGTGCCCTGAACCATCTTTGTTGTCAATTACATATCCAGTGCCATTCAGCCTCCAAGCTTAAATGATAAAAAAAAGGTGCATTCTCTTTGTGCCGTCATTCTGCATTCTTCTCAATGAAATTACTTCTAGGAGTCGTAACCTTCCTCATCACCCTCCTCTTCTTCTTCCTCTTCTGCCTCCTCACCATCATTTCCTTCTCCAATGTAACTGACACACTGTGAGGTGCCCAACTCAAGCTGGGTTTGATTGATGGCAGTTTCATCGTCCACCTGCATCTCTGACTATTTGCAAAAGTAATTGGTTAGATCAGGATAACAGTCATTCCACAACAGATATAACTATATCGTTAAAACTTTTGCATTTAAAACAATTCTTCTTTAGAAGACTTCTTTTGTCCCTAAACCGTTTTGCCCACAAATATACAGTCACTCCACTTTACAATATATTCTTGAAGCACTTTGAAACATTTCAACAACATGATAAGACGCTATACCAATGCAAGCTTTAATATTATTGGCATTTACTTCCTGATCTGTTGAGTAACCATTTTGTGTACCAATTTGTGACATTGCAGCATGGCGCAATGCTCAACATTAGCAGAGATCAGAGCCAGGAAACAACTGCAAACACAGAAGTGGGGACAAGAACATATAGGGAAACAATGGTAGAGTGGCATGGAAAAGAGTCAATAAGCATTAGCAAATGCCAGAGAGAGGCATGAATCGCCTACAAAATACACAGTCATTACACTACGTTAACTGAAGTTCTCTGCAGTTGCTGGAACTTTGACAACTGAACGATTCAAATAAAAAGTTTGCGAGTTGCATTTCTCACCTCTGTGTCATCAGCTGCTTCAATTCTTTGACCAGAGTTTTCCTCTTCATTGTGTTCTCTGGTCATGATGATTGATCTCAGAGCCAGCTCTTCCACCTGGTGGAAGATTCGTACAAGACTTATGTTATAACACATCCGCTGGAATCTACCTTCAAAACCAGTGCCTGCATTCACTATGCATTGTGGTTCCCGTGCTTCCTACCCCATAATGAATGGCTCGCTGCTGTTACTCAGTACATGGTTTGCTGTGGTGGGTAGTGGGATGAGAAAATGTCCGAAAGACGGCCCAAGGGGGGGGGGGGGTCGTAAAATTCCGGTTTATACCTTGAGTCGGTTCAATTGATCTTGTAAAGTGGTTTTGATTTTCATTAGGGCCTCCTCCTCTTTCTTTAGCTCATGCAGCCTGCTCAGCATTCTGCTCCGTTCAGGGGTTAATGTTTACCTGCAGAAGGATTACACAATTTACAAAAAGCTTGTTGCAATTACAGTACTTAAGGTGGCGTGAAGAGGAGGCAAAAGTTTTTAGTGAAAGCTTCCACAGAGTATGGTCAATTCTGGGGTTTCTTACCAGCAGTGTTTGACGGCAAGGAGGTTGCAGGGCTGAACTGCACTTTGGGAAATCTTCCTTTCATCTTTGGAGATTTCGAGGGGAACAAAATTCAACCTGTGACAAAAAATAAGACAGAAAGAGACAACTGAATCTAATTCTGAGCAAAGTTACAGCAGATTTCAACACAAGTTTATCCGGAATGAAAGCAAGGTTACGAATGGCGTAAATTGAGAAAAAAAAAAGTGTTCAACGTTTCACTGAAACAGCAATTTGCCGCGGGCAATCTTGAGAGACCTGGGTTTGATTCCCGGCAGCGCAAAACCTTGGGCAAGTTTCTATTTAGAATAGGGTCTACAAGGTTCTAAATAGGAATGAGGAAGTAAATCCAGAAGAATACTTTCAGGTACGTCAAGGCAGCAAAATGAAGGGCAATTTCGGGTCAGACACCAGGAAGTACATCTCTTAACAGTATGGTTGTGGCCAGGGCGTGAAGAAACAGCTTGATGCTGGAATGGCCACAAATACACAGTAGTAATAATAATAATAATCCTTGCATGTGATACAGCGCCGTGTCCCGTCTTCTCGACGTCTCAAAGCGCTTCACAGAATAGACTGTAAAGTGAATTGACTGCATATATTTGTGGGCGAAGGGGACAGTCACTCCCCTTCACAGTAAATTCTGTGAAGCACTTCGAGACGTCTCGAAATCGTGATGTGGCGCAATATCAATTGCAAAGCTTATTATATTATATACAAACCCACAAAGCCCCGTCGTTGACCCTGACTCACCTGAGTCCTCCTCACTGCAAAAACTAAGCTTATTCTTTTTAACAGGGAGAAAAGTTTTTTTCCCAAGAAATAGGACGACTTCTTCTTCTCCTCCTCCTCTTCCTCCTTCTTCTTCTCCTCCTCCTTCACCTCCTCTTCCTCCTCCTTCTTCTCCTCCTCCTTCACCTCCTCTTCCTCCTTCTTCTTCACCTCCTCTTCCTCCTCCTTCTTCACCACCACCACCTCCTCCTCTTCCTCCTTCTTCACCACCTCCTCCTCTTCCTCCTTCTTCACCTCCTCTTCCTCCTCCTCCTTCTTCACCACCACCACCTCCTCCTCTTCCTCCTTCTTCACCACCTCCTCCTCTTCCTCCTTCTTCACCTCCTCTTCCTCCTCCTCCTTCTTCACCACCACCACCACCTCCTCCTCTTCCTCCTTCTTCACCACCTCCTCCTCTTCCTCCTTCTTCACCTCCTCTTTCTCCTCCTCCTTCTTCTTCACCACCACCACCTCCTCCTCTTCCTCCTCCTTCACCTCCTCCTCCTCCTTATTCACCTCCTTCTCCTCCTCCTCCTTCTTCTTCACCACCACCACCTCCTCCTCCTCCTTCACCTCCTCCTCCTCCTTCTTCACCACCACCTCCTCCTCCTCTTCCTCCTCCTCCCCTCTGCTCAGCACCGGCCACACTTACATTGCAATAAAAGAGCCATTCTTTTGTGACATGAAATACAGAGAGAGAAAGAGAGAGAGAGAGAAAGAGAGACGCAACCAATCCGACCCGGCACTTCCGGCGCCTCTGCGCACGCGCAGTGCAGCCGGGCGGCAGCGACCGGCGGCTCAGAGGCGTTTTGTAGCCCAAAGTCGCCCAAGCGCACGCGCCCAGTGGCCGCGCCCCCCACGCGCCCCCAGAGCCCCGCCCCCTGAGCCCCTCCCCTAGAGCCCCCAGAGCCCCGCCCCCCATAGCCCCGCCCCCCGAGCCCCGCCCCCCAGAGCCCCGGGAACACTGACAGTTGGTGGGCGGGTGGGTGACGTCACGGGATCTTTTTAAATGCCCTGAAGCGGGGCCTCTCCTTCATTCAGTTACAGCCACAACTACAGCACAACTACAGCACAACTACACCACCACAGCACAACTACAGCACAACTACACCACAGCACAACTACACCACAACTACAGCACAACTACACCACAGCACAACTACACCACAACTACAGCACAACTACACCACAGCACAACTACACCACAACTACACCACAGCACAACTACACCACAACTACACCACAGCACAACTACAGCACAACACAACTACACCACAACTACAGCACAACTACACCACAGCACAACTACAGCACAACTACACCACAGCACAACTACACCACAGCACAACTACACCACAGCACAACTACAGCACAACTACACCACAGCACAACTACACCACAACTACACCACAGCACAACTACAGCACAACACAACTACACCACAACCACAGCACAACCGGAACCACAGCCGCAACTCTCCACCACAACTACCGCCTGAGCCACGGCGACAGCCGGAGCCGCCCGGTGAGTGGCCACTGCATTATCCACACGGTCTTCCTTCAGCTTCTCCTTGTCTTGGGGGGGGGTGTGGGGGGTGGGGGCTACAGGTCCCGGCGTAGTTCCTGCCCTCCTTGAGGACCTCCTTGAGGCGGCGATGCAAACGTTGGGGAGAAAGCTCATTCCCCCCCCACCCACCCCCACCCCGTTGAGGGTCCTCTTGCGTCGTCGCGTTGCCGTGACCCCCCCCCCCCCCCCACCGCCGCCCACACTCGCCCCGTCATCTGAACCGGGTCGTCGTCAGTTGATTAACGGTTAATTAATTAATCCCTTCAAAAAAAAATATCTGGTGGGTAATTAATAATATGGATAATAATCTTAATCGATAACGAGGTTAATAGTAATTTGGCCGCTTCAATCCGCGGCTGTCCGTGGGACGTCGCCGCGCCCCCCCCCCCACCCCCCGGGTGCGCAGCCGTCACAATTTGCGGTCGATTCTGCGAAGGGCTTTCCAGTCGTGTCGAAGACGTGAGGAGGCGCTGACGAACGAACGCCAGGGCCATCGGCGTCCCGCGGCCCCAGCGGGGCAGAGCGCTACGCCTCGCAAGCGAGAGGACCTGGGTTCAGGCGGGCGAAACCCTGGGCAAGTTTCCTTACTCCACGAGAGTCGGTCACTTCAATCCACGACTGTTTGCTGGACGCCGCCGTAACGTAGCTGGTCTCCCACCCACCCCCCCACCCATCCCCCCCCCCCACCCACGCCAACGCCAAACCCTTTTTTAATTGCAGGAGTGGCAATGTTGCTGTGCGCAATTGGCTGCCGCGTTCGCCCACAAATATACAGTCAATTCACTTTACAGTGTGTTCTGTGAAGCGCTTTGGGACGTCCTCCCGACGTGAAAAGCGCTATATCAAATGCAAGGATTATTATTATTATTATTATAATGTTTAGGGAAATAATGGAGCCCGCCCCTGGTTCTATGATTGTGTTGCAGTTGACCTTCAAAGAAGCCGGGAGCCTTCGGCGATTCCCCCTGGACCTCACCCTTCCCTTCTCCCCGCCATGGCTTCCTTTGAAATGAGGGAGTTTGTGCAGCAGCATTGCACTGGCCTCTGTGTGCTGACTTTTACAGGTGAGAGGGGCACACCCCAGAAATGAGGTGGGATAAGATGGGAAATGTTGTAAGTGGACGGAGGCTCTCGCCTCCGAGTCGGAAGGTTGTGGGTTTTCTGGTGGACGTTAAAGTTCCCGTGTTAAACAAACCGCTCGTTGTTGCTGTGTGTGGGATATTGCTGTGTGCAAAATCGGGTGCTGCGCTTGCCTGGAAATACTGTCACTACGCTTTAGTACCTATGAAGCGCTTTGCAGTGTTTTGATGACTCTGCGCGAGGTGCTTTATGATGTGCCAATAAATCCTGTGAATTGCTTTGACGCTTCATCCTCCCGCTATGAAAGGCGCGACATCAAATGCAAGGATTGTTATTTTATTATTATTCTCTCGCTGCTTCTTCACTTAAACAGCAATCGTTTGTGAAGTGCTTAAAGCGTTTTGTGATAAGTGGCTGCATTATTACAACAACAAGATTACATGTGCATAACGCCTTTCACGTCGGGAGGACGTCCCAAGGCGCTGGACAGTGTACAGCATTTCAGACCCGAGTCAGGGTCGGGGAAGGGAAGTGGCCGATGGCACGGTCGAAGAGGAAGGTTTTGAGGGGGACTTGAAGGAGGCTCAGGAGAGGGAGAGGTGGAGTGATGGGAGGATGGAATTCCAGAAGTTGGGGGCAGAGTGGCTGAAGGCTCTCCCGCCAATGGTGGGTTGGGGGACGTGGAGCAGCCCGGAGTCGGCTGAGCGAAGGGAACGGGTGGATCGGTAGGAGGTTAGGACGTGGCACAGGTAGGGTGGGGCGAGGCCATGGAGGGCTTTGTATGTGAGGACCAGGATCTAGAACTGGATCCTCTGAAGGATAGGGAGCCAATGGAGTCGGGCGAGAGTGGAGGCGATGGGGTTTGGTGCGGGAGAGGACACGGGCTGCAGAGTTCTGGATTATCTGCAGCTGTGGAGGGAGGAGTTGGGAAGGCTGACACGCAGGGCGTTGGCATAGTCGAGCCTGGCGGCGATGAAGGTATGAACACGAGTTTCAGCGCCTGAGGGGTGAGGTAATGGCAGAGTCGGGCGATGTTAGGGAGTTGAAGGAAGGCAGAGCGGGTCATGGCTTGGATGTGGGGGAGAAAAGACAGTTGAGGGTCAAACACTATCTCCAGATCATGCGTGGTCCCTTTTTCAAGTGAGACCCTGTCTAATTGTTCACATTCTGTGAAGTGCTTCAAGATGTTCCTTTTATGTGAAAGGCACATAAAATGTAAATTGGTGTTGTAAATTGCAAGCTTCTGATTACAGGATGTTGGTTTAAAATTGCTTTTAACACCATTAAAGTTGCTCAATGCCTATATAGTCCCCTTCCTCTGCTCCCGCTCAGTGCATTCAATTTTCTCAGGGAAGGGCTTTGAGGTGTTCAACTTGCGTCAAATGCTTAGGTTCGAACGGCTGACTGGTATGGTGTTTACAAGCAGCTTGAGCCTTCGTTCCAGACAATGAGGAGGAGGAGAAGTGACAGCTGTTCTGGTTAATCTGATTTCAAACCGAATTAAAAGATTACTTAAATTCCTTTGTTTTCGGAAACGTCTTATAATTAACCGGTCAGGTCAAAGGGCTTTCTTCATCTGAACCTCTCTTGCGAGACGAGACGCTGCTTGGAGCCATGTGCTTTGGCCCTGACCGCAAAAGATGCGTCTCAATTGGATCACTCACTTTCCACACCAGCCGTACAAGTGTCCTTTGTGTAAGTGCTGAAGCTTGGCTGAATCTATGCTCTCAATAAAGTGGAAGTGTTCCTTCAGGACTGCTGCATTATCCTAAGCGTTCCCTGTGTATTTCAATGTCTGCCCATAAACACACACAGTCGCTGCGCTTTTACAATAAATCCCATGAAGCGCTTTGATACTTCATCCTCCTGACACGGAAGGTGCGACATCAAATACAAGGATTGTTATTTTATTATTTATTATTTGTTATTATTGTGGGGACTTGATGGGAAATGGGGGGGCTCTGACTTTATGCCCTTTATTCATGGCATTTATCACAATATTTGCCTTAATATCCAACAGTATGAGCATAAAACTGTGGATTAAAAAGACACTGGAATTTAAGCCTCGATACTGTCTAAGATTGCTCCCTCTGAACTATGTACAGAAGATTAAGTTGCATTTGATGGCCAGTTGTAGTGTAGGCTTTTGATGACAGATCTTTTTGAAGTTGAAATTTAAATCTACAGAAATGGGTTGAACAACTTTAAGAGCGACAAAAATGTTGATTTAGAGATGGCTCCGTCAGAGGAATCCCAAGTAAAATTGAAAGCTCTTTAAACTGCTTTATATATATATATATATAATCATATATATAATATTATAATATATATAATATATTTAGATTGTATGGGTAGATTTTAGGTGGAACAATTGTCTATGTTGAAGCACTGCACTGAATTTAATCCCATGAGGGTTGGAGACTCTTGTCTTTGATGGTAAACAGCGATATCTTTGTCCTAACAAGCAATTAGCAACACACCATGTGGCAGCAGTTACACTGGCTTACCTTGGCTTCTAGTCCGCACGATGGAAGAGTTGAGTTCAGCAAATTGGTTTGAAATGGAGCCAAGGTATTGCCTGCAGAAGAGACACACTTGTTTGCAATCTGCTGAACAACCCTGGCTGGATTTTGTTTGCTATACAGCATTCAGTGTACTCCAATGTTGCTTGGTGATCTGTCAAACGCACCATTTATCTATTTTTAAAAAAAGGATTGGGTGAGCTTTCATGTTTGTGGGACATTGCAGTGGGTAAGTTTGCTGCGTGTTTGCCTACATTTTTGAATAAATGCCATGAAGCACTTTTAGACTGCTTCCTGACATGGCTGGCGATATACCAAATGCAGGGAAATGGTTCCTGATCTGCACTACGTGATACTGTGGTGTTATCTAGATGGGTAGAGAGGTATCGACATTTACCTGACGCCCTGGCAGTGGGAATTGTGATAACGTACCCAAAAACAGTATTCCATGAATACGGTTGGACATTGCATTCTGTGTACTGTCCTTCCCTCTGGCTTATCAGAGATGGCACTTGATAAACTATAAACTGAATTATGGAATTACCAATGTGCTGCCTTTACTAAACCAGTCTCTCTGTGACTTGAGACTGACTCTATGTTCTGTGATGGCTGCTGACATTCCCCGATTTCCTTGTACTTTTTGCCTTGAACTTCTCAAAGTTCTTGCAAGACAGCAAATCCACTGCGCTCATGTTGTCTCATTTCACCCCAATACTCGTGCAGCTCAATCCTATTAACAGAGGATTAACAATCCTTTATTAGCTAATCTTCTTGAGTTTAGTAAATCTACTTCCTACTCCTGTTCTGAATTTGTCTAAATTGATTCAGAAGTAATCCTCTGGAAGTTTACATTCCTTCGGTCTTTGTCCTTTTTCAGACTGGCACTTAAAGGTTGAGGGGAGGGGGAGTGGGTGCGTTTCTGGTTTGTTTCTTTATGTTTTTTTCTTAAAATTGGGTCACTCAATACGTGGCTATTTGTGGTACAGTGTTGTGCACAATTGACTGTGGCGTTTAGCCCACAAAATGCACAGTCGGTACATTTTACTATATATTCCGTGAAGCGCTTTGAGACGTCTCAATGACTTGATAAGGCGCTATATCAAATGCAAGTATTATTATTAATGCTCATGTACTACCTTACACCTCCCTAAAGGGACAATTTTGTGTTGGATTTAAGATGTAGCAGCAATCTGGATCAACTGCCGTGACTAAACTCTCTTTACTCTTTGTGACCCTTGGTACAGAAGGGAGATTTTTGCTCTACTTTTCTTTAAAATTCTGCACAGCCACCAGGCGTATTGTGTGTAATGCCCTTGATTTTCGACTGACGTTTCAAGTCTATCTCTTCGTTATCTACTTTGACTGAAGATCAGGGACTAGGTCGAGGTTACAATTTTTTTTTTAAAAAAAAGTAAAAGATTAATGATTCAAAGGATCCCAGATAACAAGTAGGGACATGTAGTCAAGGCCACATGTCATGTTTTGTAAGGGTTACTCTGAGTTGGAGTTTACTCTTGTTGTTGAGGTGTAGGACTGTAAGAAAGATATAATCAATTAATCTTTGAATTCGATACAGCAGCTTTCATATCAGATTTACTGTGTAACAACTGTATCTTGTACAGCCATAAAAAATAATCCTTGCATTTTGATATAGCGCTTTCCAGGTCTTCTAGACTCGCTTAACAAAATGGACTGTAAAGCGAATTGACTGTATATTTGTGGGCAAAACACAGCAGCCAATTGCGTACAGCAGCGTCCCACAAACAGTCGTGGATTGAAGTGACCAATTTATTATTTTTTTCTCTTGAGGGATTATTATCAGGCCCTATGGAATTAAGAAAAGGCTTCACCCTGCCAGGAATCAAACCCAGGTCTCTCACTTGCGAGGCGAGTGCGAGTTAGACACCGCAATGAAGTGTATCATTAATTTATTTTGGAGGATGATTGACTAAGAGAGAAACTCCCTTCTCTTTTCGAATATTGCCATGAGACCTTTTCTCTGGCCTTCTGTCTGTTCCTCGTCCCCTCTGCACCACCACCGGGAGCCGTGCTTTCAGCTCCTATGCCCTGAAACTATGGAACTCTCTTCCTCAATCCCTCCTCCTTCCTTGTCTTCAGATTGCACCTGAGACCTTCCTCCTCCACCATGCCTATGGTCATCTCTTTCCCCCCACTACCCACCAGCTTGATGTTAAGCACCGCCACTGTTGAGCGCTCCGAGATGCTACCTTGTGTGAGGGGTGCTGTATAAATGTTGTTGTTGGTGATCAGCTTAGACCAGGGGTGGGCAAAATACGGCCCGTGGGCCTTATCCGACCCGCGAAATGATTGCATCCAGCCCGTCATGGTGTCTAGCAATAGGAAAAATATTATAGTTCGTTCAGTCCCAGAAAGTCCCACAAATTTAGCATTTCAATCAGACCGGGAACATCGGCCACTCGCACGGCTTAGTTGTGCGCACGTTCCCTTAAGTGTTGAATCAGGGCTGAAGTCAGAAATGTACGGATCGGCAAATTTTCAAACACGCTCGCGGCAACCGCGGCAATACTTTTCACTGAAGAGGACGTTAATTCGAAATGAGTTTGCCAAAGAAGCGGAAAGTGGACGCTGAAGGCCGAATATTCAACAAAGAATGGACTCCTAAATACTTTTTTTTTTACCAGTGTGGGTGGAAAAGCTGCGCGCTTAATTTGCAAATAAAGTGTGGCAGTGCTCAAAGACTACAGCTTGAATCGCCATTTTGAGAGCAAACATGCTTGCAAATATAAGAACGTTTCTGCCGAAGGAAAGAAAGCTGGTGAGATGGTTGATCAAATCAAAAAGAACAAAGCATTTTCACAAAACAATTTGTGAAAGTGGAGTCCTGTAGCTCAGTGGTTAGAGCACTCGCCTTGCAAGCGAGCCATCTGGGTTCTTTTCCAGGAAGGACGAAACCTTGGGCAAGTTTCCTTACTCCACACGCCTAATAATAATCCCTCCAAAACAAAAATAAAATTGGCCATTTTCAATCCACGACTGTTTGTGGGACGCTGCTGTGCGCAATTGGCTGCTGCGTTTCACCCACAAATATACAGTCAATTCACTTTACAGCATATTCTGTGAAGCGCTTTGAGGCGTCTAGAAGACGTGAAAAGCGCTATATCAAGTGCAAGGATTATTACTATTATTATTATTAATTTGCCTCCGAGGATCAGATTACAGGAGTTAAGTGATTGCACACAAAATCGCCAAGAACAGCAAACCATTCTCTGATGGAGAATTTATAAAGCAATGTGTGGTTGACTCTGCCTCGATTTTATGCCCAGACAAGAAAAAAACGGTTCGAGAACATTAGCTTGTCAAGGCGAACTATTGTGAGGTGTGTCGAAGATATCTCTGAGAACCTGTATCTGCAGCTACAAAATAAATTAAGCAATTTTGCATGTTTTTCACTGGCACCCAATGAGAGTTGTAATGTCAAAGACGCAGCCCAGTTGATAATTTTTATTCGAGGTATCACCAAACATTTTGAGCTCACAGAAGAATTAGCATCAATGCAGTCAATGAGAAGATACGACAACTGGAGAAGACTTTTTGGAGGCAGTAAATAAGTGTATCTTAAAATTAGGAGTGGAGTGGAAAAAATTGGTGAATGTGACCACCGATGGAAGCCCAAATCTGACAGGCAAAAATGTTGGGTTACTGAAAAGAATTCAAGATCAAGTCAAAGAAACAAATCCAGAACAGAATATTGTTTTTCTACACTGCATTATCCACCAAGAGGTCCTCTGTAAGAGTGTTCTAAAACTAAGCAATGTCGTGGACACAGTTATGAACGTGGTCAACTACATTCGAGCAAGAAGATTAAACCACAGGCAGTTTGTAACTCTGCTTGAGGAATTGGAATCCGAGCACACGGATGTTCTGTATCACACGAATGTAAGATGGCTTAGTTTAGGAAAGGTCTTGAAAAGAGTGTGGGAACTGAGAGCAGAGATTGATTTATTTTTGGACATGAAACAAAAAGATTTGTATTTCCCACAGCTGAATGATGCAAATTGGCTCTCTGATTTTTCATTTTGCCGTTGATATCATGGGCCGCATGAATGAACTGAATTCAAAACTGCAACGGAAGGGGACCTTTGTGCACGATTTGTATTGCAGTGTTAAGTTATTCATGACGAAATTATTTCTTTTATTGCATCAGATAGGAAACAGGCAGTTCGCCCCCTTTCCAACTTTGCAGCAGATTACTGTTTGCGATCAAAGCCTTAAAAAGTATACTTTGTCACTACTTGACTTACGTGCTGAATTTTCTCGCCGATTCCAGAATCTCAATTTGATCGAAAATGACCTGTCTTTGGTCTCTTCACCTTTCTCATTTCATGTTGACAAAGCCCCATTTGACCTCCAACTCGAGCTTATTGACCTGCAATGTGATCCATTGCTTGCGGAGCAATTCAAATCAGTGCCGCTTCCCAGTTTTTACGCCTCTCTTAATGAAAATACTGTTCAAAACATAAAGGCTCATGCCCGGAGGATACCTGTGCTGTTTGGATTAACATACAAATGCGAGGAGACATTTTCTGTGATGAAATTCAATAAATCAAAACGTAGATCTGCGATGACTGATGACCACCTTGCAGCAGTACTCCGCATTGCAACAACGGAGACGAAGCCTGACTTAAATTGTCTGGTTAACGCACATCAGCGCTTTCATTCTTCCCACTGAGTGAGCTTCTCACATTCTCATCAATATATGAATAAATGTCTGCTTAATGAGTTGTTTTTATTTAACCTAATTTTAATGAATGTCAATTAGACAGACTTTATTTTATGCATGTGCAAGCGTAAGACACGATTTTGAGCTATTATTAAGCATTTGCATCTATATTAAGTGTGTGGCCCACGAAGCTTACCAAAACTTGTGAAGTAACCCGCCAGCCAAAATAATTGCCCCCCCCCACCCCCGGCTTAGACTGTGCTGATGTGATACATTGCCAGTCACCAACCATCCTTTATGTGTATCCTGGACTGTATTGTGAGCTACACTTGCAGTGTGATTCTTTTTTCTTGTGCAGAGTTGCTATCTTTATCTGGTCTCAACTGTTTACCATGAGGCTGTTTGAAATGAAAGCGAATGGGCGATGTGTTTTGTGTGCTGACCTTTTAGGTGTCGGGCTCATTCTTCTGCGGCGCTGGATGACTGGTGGGGTTTGCAGGAGCAGAGTGAGACTCGATGGAAAAACTGTGATTGTCACTGGCGCTAACGTTGGGATTGGAAAGGAGACGGCTAAGGACATTGCTCGGAGAGGTAAGACCCATCTTGGACACGATGACTCTTTTTTTATTTGGAGAAACTTTGGTGTCTTTTGACTTGTTAAGTGATAATCTATTGTCTTTTGTTAGGTTAATAATTTTTGTTTGGTTCTATTTCATGTAATTGCTTGTAATTTCTGTAATTCTGTGTAATTCTAATGCCTCAGGCTTGATCTCCAGCTTGTTGTAATGTTTCTGGTTCGCGGTGGCTTTTGTCTTTGGTTCTTAACTGACCTTTTATAAATTATTATATATTTTATATCCACTATAAAACATGCACAACTGTTTGTGTGGTTGCAGGGGCTCGTGTGATTCTGGCTTGCCGGGATTTGGAAAAGGCTGAAAAGGCAGCAGCCAAGATCCGGGAAGAGACAGGGAATGGGAACGTCCTGATTCGCAAACTGGATTTGGCCTCACTGAAGTCTGTCCGTGCTTTTGCTAAAGAAATCCAGGATACCGAGACTCAATTGGATGTTCTCATCAACAATGCAGGTGAGTATTGGTATAAGAAGTCAACTGCTGGGGAGGGGTAGGAGAGGGAAAGAGGATAAAATATAAGGTTTCTTGCACATTCCAGTCAATTTGATGCACTAAATATTGAATGAATGGACCACTCGATTGACCTTCATTGCGATAGTTTTCCACCCTTGTGTTTTTATAACAATTTGTAGGCCAAATAGCATTTGCTTCCATGTAATATTGTTCCGTTTCTCTATCTCTAGGTATCATGTGGTGCCCCAAGTGGAAGACCGAGGATGGCTTTGAGATGCAGTTTGGAGTTAACCATCTGGGTCACTTCCTGTTGACCAACCTTCTGCTGGACCTGCTGAAGAAGTCCGCCCCCAGTCGGATAGTTAACGTGGCCAGCTTAGCACATAAAAGAGGTAAGTTTGTCTTCAGGCTCCAGGAACTTAGGAACAGGAGGAGGCCATTCAGCCGCTCGAGCCTGTTTGCCATTCTATTAGATCATGGCTGATCTGTACCTCAATTCCAATTACCCTCCTTTGCCCCATACCCCTTGATACTCTGACCTAACAAACATCTATCCACCCCAGGCTGCAAAATTTGAATTGATGCAGAATCCACAGCCTTTCGGCCCAAAATGTCTGCGACCTTTTCCTGACTGGCTCCAAGTCTTTTCTACACATTCGCACTCTGCCAATTAAAGATTGTGTAGAAGTTCAGCCACTACATCTTTTACAGTAAATTCCTATGAAGCGCTTTAAGACATGTTGATAGTGTGATAATGTGCAAGTTTATTGTTATGTTGTGTTTTTATTGCTATTGTTCATGGATGTTTGAATTGACTGTGAGAGATAGCAGAGAGGAAGGGCCACCAGCCCTTCTAGTTCCTCAGCTCTGATGGATGCCAGCATTTAAGTGATTGTTTTATGCTTCTGAATTTCAGGTAAAATTAACTTTGACGATATTAATCTGGACCAGAAGTATGATTCTGTTGTCAGCTACAGCCAGAGCAAACTGGCTAATGTCCTCTTCACCAGAGAGCTTGCAAAGCGATTGGTAGGTGAGTCACTTCAAGTCAAAAGTCGGACTCATTTCAACATTTGCCTACGAAATACAGTCGCCACAATTTTCAGTGAATCTCGCAAAGCGCTTTGAGATGTCCTTGCGATGTGAAAGGTACAGTATCAAATGCAAGATTATTATGTATACACAATGTGGAGGAGGCTTAAATAGTATCTTTTTTCCCCGCCACCATCTGTCTTAACCCTAGTTTGAGAATATTGCCCCCATCAAACTATTAGTCAGCATTTGTCACTTGGTGTTGGAATGCAAATTGATTGACCAATTTAGCTGACCCACCATTCTGGGTTAGCTTCAACCAAAGTCCCCCAAACAGTGAAAGGAACACATTGAAATGTGCAGTGCCACCCAGTTAGAGAAAGCATAAAAGGAGCTTTTTTTGTGTGATTCCAGGCACTGGAGTGACCGCTAACAGTCTTCACCCTGGACTGGTCATGACTGACCTGGGACGTCATGTTCTTCCCACCATTTCCCTGTTGCTGAAGATTGCCATGACCCCGTTGGCTCTCTTTATGTTCAAAAACTCCTGGCAGGGAGCACAGACCAACATTCACTGCGCCGTCGCTGAGGAACTGAAGCACACAACCGGCCTCTACTTCAGGTGAGCTCGACCTCTCAAACTTGTTCAGCCTCTGCCTCCTGCTGTAACGACGAGGACCAAGGCTTCTCCACCAATTGCTGCTGTGGTACGTAACCCCAGACTTGGTGTCAAGGATTACGTGATGCTGTACATGTACCTGCTGGTGTCATACACAGCGTGAAACCTGTTCTCTGGCACTTTATTACCCATTGCCTTCTCCTGTCCATATTCATGCTTTCAAATACGCCAAGACAGGAAGGGCAAGTTTAGGAAGTATTTCTTTACCGAGAGAGTAATTAACCTATGGACCAGAGGTTACCTGGAAGGTGGGGGCCAGACATTGTGGACACATTTAAGATGCATCACGTTGCTGTCATGGGAAGATGGTAGAGAGGAAAGGGAAGAGGTCAGAAAGTTAAACTAAGGGAATGTTATCTGCCACCACATGCTGTGGTCTGTAATGGGTTTGTTTGTGGCACATTGCTGTCTGCAAATTGGCTGCTGTGTTTGCCCACAAAAGTTATTAACTTGTAGCAATGCTAAGTGGAGTTGTGCAGTGATCTACAGTGAAGTGCTTTGGGACCTCCTCCCGATGTGCAAGGCGCTGTACCAAATGTGAGGATTATTACTTCTTATCAACGTTTGAAGCAATGCAGTAAACGTGAACTGTTAACCTTCACAGCGACTGCGCCCCGAAAGAGCCCGCTCCCCAGGCGAAGGATGGTGAAGTGGCTCGCAGGCTGTGGGACCTGAGTGCACAGATGGTGGGACTCGATAAATAGGCCGCTGACTGCATCACGTTCCCAGACTGTGGAAGTGTTAATTCTCTCAATCTGGCCTTGTTGTTTTCTTTTTTTGCTGAGATCGGTGAAACGTAATCAGCTCCAGAGGCAACCCTATTGCCAGTGATGCACAAGATGACTTTAGTTTGCTTAGGCTTACATTTATTTACCTCCCTCACTCATCCATATCATTCTTTTTTTTTGAAAGTCCATGTACAAATCACTTGCTTACACACTCAGCCACTGCAGCTCTAGAGCTTGGATGTGCCAGATCTGTAAGGGAAGCCAGGGGCAACAACAGACTTAACTCGGACAGACGCATGTGGCAGAAAGTTCCCTGTCTTTGCTGGGTCCCTTGACTTGAGATTTGAAGATGTTGCAAGGATTGGTGCCTTGTTTCACCTCTTCCTAAGGCTCTATTATTGTCTGCTTTAAATGCTGTTTTTTTTAAAAAAATTTCTTTTGGCTGTTGCGTTTCAACAACAACTTGGATTTATATAGCGCCCTTCATGCTGGTGGCGTCTCAGAGTGCTTCACAGTAACGGATCCCGGGGCTGAGCCAGCGGGAGAGGGGAAGAAGGTGACCAAAGGCGCGGTCGAAAAGAAAGGTCTTCATCCGAGACCTGAAAATAGGAAGAGAGGGGGCGAGGTGAAGGGAGTGAGGAAGGCAGTTCCAGAGCCTCAGGGCGTAGTGCCTGAAGCCACGGCCACCGAGGGTGGAGCGGAGGACTCGGGGGAGGCCAGACCCGGTGGAGCGAAGGCAACGGGCACTGGTTTGAGGAGAGAGGAGGTCAGAGAGGTAGGGGGGTGCAGAGGAGTGCAGGGACTTGAATACAAGAGTGAGGATCTCGAAGTCGATCCTATCTGGGAGAGGCAGCCAGTGCAGTCTGGCAAGGACTGGGGTGATAGGGGAGTGGAGTTTGGTGTGAGTAAGAATGCGGGCGGCAGAGTTCTGGATAACCTGGATTTTGTGGATGAGAGACCGGAGAGGAGGGCGTTAGAGTAGTCCAGCCGAGAGGTGATGAAGGCATGGATCAGTGTTTCGGCGGCTTTTGGGGAGAGGTATTGATGGAGACGGGCGATGCGTTGGAGGCGGAAGAAAGCGTTGCAGGTGAGGTACCGGATGTGGGGGAGGAAGGATAATTGGGGGTCAACCTGACGCCGAGGTTGTGTACAGATTCAGAGAGTTTTAAGGGGAGGTTGGGTAGGTGGAGGAGGTGAGAACCGTGCAATTTAAGACGTTGGCGAGAGCCAAAGAGTATGGGTTCCGTCTTGTCAACATTTAGCTGATTCGCTTACAAAATACATACTTTAGTTTCGCTTCACTTACAAAATGCATAGTCAACCACTTTTCAGTATATTCTGAAGTGTTTTGAGACATCTCAATGACATTTAATGGTGCTATATCAAATGCAAGGATTATCATTATTATTAAATCTTGGAGCTTCCAAGCACTGAATTTTAAGATCCTATCTTCACATTTTTATAAATAATATATTATATACAATATATATTGTGTGTATATATAATATATATACTATATAATATATATTTTTAAAAACTCAACTGGTGATGTGAAGTATTCTCAAACCTTCCAATTGTACAGATGTAATCTTCTTGTTATCTGTAGTTGAAATGTGAACATTAACATCTCGTTCTCAGACGATGCATTTTTTTAAATGTTTGTTCCTTTGCTGGAAGCTTACCGGGGTAGAAGCAACGTTGCATCTCGTCAAACTTATTTTACAACACCAAAAATTGGAACATTCATTCTTCCTCAGAATTTATAAATTGCAGTGGAATTGAGTGTAACAGATACTATAGTGATTCTTTGAATGTCTTCTTAGCCACTGTCTATTGTGCACTCTAAATGAAGGCAGACAATTGGTCCTGTTTACTTAAAAAAAAAAGCAGTGATTTTGTACAGAAACTTATTTCGGATCTATCTATGCAGCTTATCTAATAAATTACTTGAAAAACACTTGTATTCCTGTTGGTGTATCGTGTCAGTGCTACAGTGATCACTCTGAAATGGATGGAATCTGCCACTCACTGGGGAAAAGCATATATAGTTGCCAACCTTTGAGACATCTCAAAGACGTAAGGCGCTATATCAAATGCAAGGATTATTTATTAACCTGGCTCAGTTGGTAGAATTCGTTCCTCTGGGTTCAGCAGGTGTTGTGTGTGCATTGAGCCCACAGTCTAGGTTGACACTTGATTATTGGAGCAATAATCTTAACACAATTATTGGAGGGAGGCTCAGCATTGCTTGTCTATTCAGGTGGATGTTTTAAAGATCCCACCACGCTCTTCAAAAAGAGGAGGCAGGTTCTTTCAGATTAATTTGTCGTTCACTTCAAGGGACTTCAAGCCTGAAATCTGCATTGTGAGCTCTTAAGATCTTTTAAGATTGAGTTTTGAAAACCCTTAAATTCGGTTTTAATATGGAAAATAGTTGCTCCCTCCCAGGATGGAGCTGATCAGTTCACGGAGCTTGTTACGGGAGAGGACACAAGCTGCAGGGTTCTGGATAATAATACAATACCTTTGAGAATAAGTGATAGAGCACTTATTTATTTTATGAAAATAGTCTTGTACACAAGATAAGTGACAATCTGCTTGTGTTCTGTAAAGATGTTGGCTGTTTTGTGAAATAATTTACATCTTACAATCGGGAAGGGAACTTTGGAGGAAGCTCGGAATGATGCACATTGATTTTTTTTATATACAAAAGCCAATGTTAGCAGATTCCATCCTGGCAAAAACAAGATACTGTATTTACAAACATTCAAATGTACAATATTAAGAAAATATGGACACCATATTATTTTTACAAGGCTGACAAACACCAAGGAGAGTAATGGAGAAAATAGAACTATAAGCAAAATGCTTGCACGCATTTTAGTTTCAATAGCTGTTCACGATAAACTCCCAATGGGTCTGATGTTGTCCTGTCATTCAAAATAAATGCTGACTTACTAGTTTGAGGGAGTTTTGACTTCTGATAAAACTTTAAGGCGCTTTTTAACAGAGACACACATTCTAGTGTCCTTTGAATCTGTAGGCTGATAATTACTGTTTTTGTTCACTTAATTTAAATGATTCACAATCTTTACCGACAGAAGTACACAGAAAGAAATATTTATTCGTATATTTTTTCCTTCTCTCTCCAAAATTTTACATAGGTTATAGAATTCAATTCACCAAATAAAGTATACAATGAAAGACGCAATCGTAACAAGACACCAGATAAGTAAGATAAGTATAGTGCAAGGATGTGAAATATATTGAGCTATTCACTTGCACTCTATTGTATAATTAAACTTTTTATTTTATCTGATGATAGATTTCATTGAGACAGAATGAGGCTAACCTTTTAAAAATGGAAATGCAACACAAGATGTGTTTTATTGTCAAATTGAATGCTATGTGTTGGGAGTGGTGTGTTTTGCCTTGTTAAACATAGCCTGATAACTAATGATCTGAGACGAACACACCAATGAGAGAGGTCAGAGAAAGCCCTCGAGCATTTGCAGAGATGAAACTAGATACAAACACTGGATGCTGGTTTGACTTCTCTCCCACATTATTGACGAGTCTAAATGACGCAGGTCACCTCTGCTCTTCTCCCTTGCTGGGTGGGTGTCCAACCCTGCCACCGTGCAGCGTTCCTGGACGCTATCCTGTGTGCCTATAAATAAATGCACGTTGCTGTTTGGTTGTTACCTACACTTAAAACAACGTGAGGTTGGTGTTATTTCCCAACAGGATGCTCACTTGCGTGAGAACGAGGGATCGGGTAAAAAAAAAAAGTAAAGCTGGGAGTGAATTTGTTCATTTGAAATTGCCTTTGAAAGAGGGATTTACTGTAGGTTAAGGAATAGTGGTAAACGTCCATTGCACAGATGGGGGGAGAGAGATGATCAGAGAGAACACAGTGCTACTCAATTGGCTCTAAATTAAAGGATACATTGGGATCAGCTGCTCTCATCCGGGACCTGACAGTTTGCATTGCACCAAGACAAGTTCCAACCACCGGACAGAATGCACTTCACTGATCGCTCTACCCGCTGTATGCAAAAGATCCTGGTGGGGGGGGAAGAAAACCTCATCGCTATCAACCAAGGCCATCTGGAAGTTTAACCCCAACGAAGCCAAGAATCGAGGTGAGTGACAGACTCTTGGGAGGAGGGTTGGGGAGGATTTTCCAAAGTGATTGTCCAACAAGATAGCTTCCGCTAGAATTAGCCACAATAGAAATGTATTAATATGAGAATCTATATATATATATTTCAAATTCAAAAGTGCATACAGAATCGATGTTTTTTTTATTCCCCCACAAATTGTCCCTATCAGATTTATTTAGTGAATGGTGTTTCCCGAAGTTGGCTGGAGACATCTGGGAGCAGCAAATAGTCACTGCAGTTATTTCCTCCAATACAGTGAGCTCCTGGGTCCTTCCAAACTGCTTTAAATTGTGGGATCTTGCTAGGGCAGATTTGCTTACAATTTTCAGGTTTCAGCCAGGCTCAGTTGGCAGCACTCTCGCCTTGTTTGGATATTCTTAAGCATGGTGATAGGTGTCCGCATGTGTCTGACACTCAGCTGCCCACCCCGAAAAAAACTTTGTGAAGCCCCATATCAGGACTTTGAACTCAGGCTATCGCTCCAATGCATTGCTAGGTGGGGTGGGCGTGCTGAAATTATCGGAGGTGCCGGCCTTCAGATGAGACATTAAACCGAGGTCCCGTCCAGCTGTTCAGGTGGACGTTAAAGATTTTATGGCACGATTTGAGATGAGAGTTCCGCCTGATGTCCTGGTCTACAATTCCTCAGATACAGTCGGACAAAATTGGACAGAATCAGCTGTTGGTAGGATAATGCTGTGTGCAAATTGGCTGCTGAATTGTCCTGCAGAACACTCAGTCACTACACTTTAAAGTAAAGTGCTTGCGAAGTGCTTTTAGACATCCTCCTGATGTGAAAGGTGCTATATCAAATGAAAGGATTACGATTTCATACCCTTCAGAAGCAAGTTATTTTGCAAAGTACTTTAAAACATGATAAGGTGCAATAGCAAATGCAAGGATTGTGATTCATCATTATTCTCCCATCCACATTGTATATAAATGAGGAGGATTTAACTCCATTAGAATCTGAAATTTCTCTCCTGAAAATTAGACGTCCTTCCAAAGTGACCCAAGGGAGCAAGTTACACTTGATGTGATTTTGTCATCTGCAATAATAAAGATGTTTTCCTATTTTGCACACACACACACACACACACAGAGAGTTTGCAAATTATTTCTGAAAACTTAACGAGGCAAAAAAAATACCGACGCCTTTGTGAACACGAAGACCGATATTCAACCTGCTGAATGTATTCCAAACTTTATAATCCAAATTAGCTTCTTCCTTTCCAGACCAGGCTGCTGTTCACCTCGAACACTCATCCTTCTGGAGAGAATGCGCACTCCATTCCGGCAATGTATCTGTGGAATTTCCATGTGTGGGTGGGACGCATGGAATTCTCAGTCTGGTTTGAATACTCTTAAGCATAGTGATGGGTTTCCGCATCTGTCAGACACACAGCCGACCCCCCCCCCCCCAAAAAAAAATTCCTTTTGTTACTCCAACTTGGAACAAAGGAGTTAGGGTTAGAAATCACAGCACAATTCAGCCCAACAAGACTGCTGGTGCTTGCTTCTCCACTGGAGCTATCTACTCCAATCCTTATTCCTCGCTCTTCCCCCTCTCACGCTCTAATTCCGTTTTAGATTGTTTTACTTCATCAATGGTCTTTAGTCCATCGAAGGCAGAATTGATCAAACAACAAAATAATAATTTGGTCACTCAATCCACACAGTTTGTGGGACACTGCTGTGTGCAATTTGGCTGCCGTGTTTCACCCACAAACTACACAGAAAAGTCACTTTACAGTATATCCTGTGAAGCGCTTTGAGGCGTCTCAACGACGTGATAAGGCGCTGTATCAAATGAAAGTAATATTATTATTTTTATAATAGACTGATTGGGGCTGTTCACTGGGTGTTGAGTTCTTCAAAGTCATACAGTTGCTTCATTTGTTCCACCTGCATAGAATGCCTTCTCACCAGCTTCTTTTTGGCTTTCACATCGCTTCGCTTTGGTGAGGAGGGGGCCACGGGTACCATCGACTTCAGACACATAGCCAGGGGGGAGGAAGGTTTGCTGTTGCAGCCTATGTCAGGGATGGGTGGGTTGGGGTTGACGTTCAAGGGTGGCAGGTAGCCCGGCCTGGTGTGGGAAATATGGTCGAGGAGGAGAGTGCCAGATCCTCGCCTCTCTAGCAAGCCTGGAGGCCTCCTGCGCACGGAGCCAGGAGACGTGCTCGGGATGCTGTCCAGCGACTCCCGGGAACTGGTGAGCAGAGTCAGGGGGGAGGTGTTGTGCTTTTTCCTCTCAAAGCTGATCTTGCCCGGGTCGAGAGAACCAGAGAGCGAGTCTGAGTACAGCTGCGAATCCGAATCGTAATGGTCGTTGCCCAGTCTCCTGCGGTGCACGGTGTCTCGCAAGCTGACCTGGCCGGTGGCAGAGAAGCTGCTCACGTTGTCTTGCTCGGAGGGCAAAGTGCTCCTTCGCGCCAGGGGCTGGTGCTGGGGTTGGCTTTTCTCGTAGGACTGCTTGCGGGAAACGGGAGCCGACGTGCAGGAGGGGGAGGCCCTGCAAGCCTGGTCCCCTACAAATGGGAAGGTGTTGGGATCTTTGCTACATTCGATGCTGTTGGTTCTGGTCAGGGCAGTGCGTTTGGGCAGAGACAACCCGTTGATGCCTTGAGTGATCTCCTCGTCCGGATTAACCCGCTTGCATTCCTCCTGATGGGCTGCAGCGGCTAAAACAGAGGGAGCGATCAGGCCCCAGGGTTCCGATTGAAGCCTCTTGAGCTGGGGCAACCGGGTGCCTATTCTCTTTGGGTTCATCTTTCTGGTGGGAGAGCCAGGGTCGTTGTGACCTTTGCTGGTGTAACCTCCAGCCTGGTGAGGCGTCACTTGGAAATTAAAGGTCTTTTCCTCTTCCAGGCCATTGTTCGAGGAAGATGTTGGAGACGTCTTAATCTCAATGTCAGATGGGGACGTGCAAAGAGAAGGGGAGTGTCTTTCTTCCAATTCCGGTGAAGGTGGGACATTTAGATACTGCTTGGTTGTTTTGGTACCTGAAGGCGATTTATCGGTAGTTATGATTATAACTTCCTTTCCTTTGGCTTTGCAAGCATTCAGTAGACATTTCAGGACCTCCTTGTCATCCGTGTTGATGGCGTACACCAGAGCCGAGGCCCCGGAACGATCTTCGAGACTGGGGTCCGCTCCGTTGTTGAGCAGGAGGGACACAGCTTCCTCCCCAGCCCGCTCCACGCACGCGTGCATCAACGCTGTTTTCCCAAACTTGTCTTGAATATTCGGATCCGCCTGGTTTTCCAACAGGTACTTGACCATCTTGGCTTTGCTCACGCTCTGCTGGTCGACATGTTTGGTCATGCAAGCCACCATCAGGGGCGTTTCTCCCCGCTCGTTGCTTTCGTTGATGTACGCTCCTCCTTCCAACAAGAGCCGGGTCAACCTCAACCTCCCCAACCAGACTGCCTTTAGAAGGGAGTTCCCGTCAGTCCATAATTCAGTGGACTCCTCCATAGTGATTTAGGTACTATTGTAGATCCTTGGGCAAAACCATTTCTGTTGTGACCAAACTCTGTGTTGGATGGTAAAGGCACAAGTCAATATTATCACTGTAGCTAGGTCATTCCTCAACAACAACTAATTATCGGGAGGACGTCCCAAGGCACCGGACAGACAAGGATTTGGACCCGAGCTGGTGTTTGGGATCAGGGGGAGTGGAATGGACAGTTCGGTATGGAGTTAGCAGGTGACAAAGGTAGGAAGGAGCAAGGCCATGGAGAGCTTCAAAAGCAAGGATGAGGATTTTTAACTCAATCCTCCAGGGGATGGGGAGCGTGTGAAGCCGGGTGAAGATGGGTGCGATAGGTTTACCGAGTTTGTTGCGGCAGGGAAGAGTTGGGAAGTTGCACACACACAAAAATTTTTTTTTTTTTAATGTTTGACTGCCCAAAGTGTCGTGAAATGCGCCCAACAAATGGAGTCTAATTTGCGATCGTTCTTGACGGAATTCTTTCAGGAGAAAAGTTCGCATTGAGTCAAGGATGAGGAATGCGAGTGGGATTCCCTTATTAAGGGAACTATCACAAGTGAAACCTGAATATGAATAATCACAGAAAGTGGCACTGAGACAGTGAGACAGCTGTCGCATGTATTGCAATCGCCACATTGGGAAGGGAAGACAGGTGGCTAACAATTCAGCCCATAAATTTTAGAAAAATGAATAGGATCAGATATACGGTAGGCAGTGTCGGTGCTCCTGCATTCTGAACTACAGAGTCACTCAAGTGCAGTCATACCAATTCCAAACCTACTCCAGGTAGACAAGTTAAAAATAGAATTTGGTCACTCAATCCACGACTGTTTATGGTACACTGGCTCCTGCGGGCAACTGGTTACCACGTTTCGCCCACAAAATACACAATACACTCCGTTTTACAATATATTTTATGAAGCAGTTTGATATGTCTCAACTGAGTGATAAGAGCTATATCAAATGCAAGGAATATTATTGTTATTATATATCACACATATACAATCTTTGATGGGGGTTAATTCCTATTTGTTTGCTCCTGTTCAGTTTATTCAACTTCAACTCACCAGCCAGTCAGGAACCTGGGTGTCTTATTTGACCCTCAACTGTCTTTTCTCCCCCACATCCAAGCCATGACCCGCTCTGCCTTCCCTCACTTCCGTAACATCGCCCAACTCCGCCACTACTTCACCCCTCAGGCGCTGAAACTCGTGTTCATGCCTTCATCACCTCCAGGCTCCACTATGCAAACGCCCTGCGTGTCGGCCTTCCCAACTCCTCCCTCCACAGCTGCAGATAATCCAGAACTCTGCAGCCCGTGTCCTCTCCCGCACCAAACTCCGTGACCCCATCTCCCCCACTCTTGCCCGACTCCATTGGCTCTCTATCCTTCAGAGGATCCAGTTCAAGATACTGGTCCTCACATACAAAGCCCTCCATGGCCTCGCCCCACCCTACCTCTGCGACGTCCTAACCTCCTACCGACCCACCCGTTCCCTCCGCTCAGCCGACTCCGGCCTGCTCCACGTCCCCCAACCCACCATTGGCGGGAGAGCCTTCAGCCACTCTGCCCCCAACTATGAATCTATGAATTGGGTGAGAGTGGGAATTACTTGTTTTAGTATATGTATAAACTGTTTTATTACCTATATGTATATATACTAACTTTAAACTGTTGATAGAATTGGAAAATTGGGCTTGTGGTTAGACTTAACAAGGAGCAGCTGTGGTTAGTTTACGAAATACAAATTTATTCAAATTAACAAATAATAGTCTGCAGATTTCTGGCAAAACGAGTAATTAGGGAAGTAGATGGAGCCCTTGTTGAAAAGGCTTTAAACTGGTAAAGGAAGTGGGAGGGTTGGGTGGTAAAAATAACAAAAACATAGGGCAAGTAGAGGACAAGAGCAACGATCAAGGTAACACAAACACTAATCGAAAAGAAAGGTAATAGGAAATTATTACACAAGGTGTAGCAAATCAAAATGTGAGAGAAAAACATTGGCCCCCCCAGGGGTCTGTACTGGGACCTCAGCTTTTTGCCGTATACGTAAATGACTTGGATGAAAAAATAGAAAGTTTTATATCCAAGTTTGCGGATGACACTAAGATCGGAGGCTCAGCAAGTAGTGAAGATGGGAGTAGGAAGTCACAGAGGGACTTAGACAGATTAATTGAGCAAGCAAAGCTGTGGCAGATGGAGTTCAATAATAATAAGGGAAGTGCGAGGTCATCCATTATGGACCGAAAAAAGATAGGGCAGAATACTTTCTTAACGGGGAGAAATTAAGAGCTGTGGAAGAGCAAAAAGATTTGGATGTCTATATCCACAAATCACTAAAAACTAGTTCCCAGGTGCAAAACATGATCAGAAAGGCAAATGGCATGTTGGCCTTTATCTCGAGAGGCCTGGAATACAAAGGAGAAGAAATGACGCGTAACCTGGATAGAGCGTTGGTCAAACCCCATCTGGAGACTGCGTTCAGTTTTGGGCACCACACCACAGAAAAGATATGTTGGCCTTGGAGGGGGTGCAGCACAGGTTCACCAGAATGTTACCAGTCCAAAAAGGGTTAAGTTACGAGGAAAGGCTGCATAAACTTGGATTGTATTCCCTCGAGTTTAGAAGATTGAGGGGTGATTTGACAGAGGGTTTTAGGATGATAAAGGGATTTGATAGCGTCGATGCAGAAAAGCCATTTCCTATGTTGGGGGAATGCAAAACAAGGGGCAGAGTCTTAAAATTAGAACCAGACCATTTAAGAGTGAAATCAGGAGCATTTTTTCACTCAAAGGGTGGTAGAAATCTGGAACTCTCTCCCCCAAAAGGTCGTGGATGCTGGATCCATCCACACCTTCAAGAAAGAGATTGACAGATTTTTGTTAGATCGGGGTAATAAGGGATACGGGGAGAAAGCGGGAAATTGGATTTGAAATTCTAGTAAAGATATAGATCAGCCATGATCTAATTAAATGGCGGAACAGGCTCGACGGGCTGAATGGCCTACTCCTGTTCCTATATCCAGTTCCAGATCCTCACCTACAAAGCCCTCCATAGCCTCGCCCCACCCTAGCTCTGCGACCTCCTAAACCCCTACCAACCCGCCCGCTCCCTCTGCTCAGCCGGCTCCGGCCTGCTCCACGTCCCCCGCCCCACCATTGGCGGGAGAGCCTTCAGCCACTCTGCCCCCAACTTCAGGAATTCCATCCCCCCATCACTCCGCCTCTCCCCCTCCTTAGCCTCCTTCAAGTCCCCCTCAAAACCTTCCTCTTCGACCATGCTATCGGTCACCTCCCTTCTCCCCCCTGACCCCAGCTTGGGTCTGAAATGCTGTAAACTGTACACCGCCTTGGGAAGTCCTCCTAAAGTGTTGTTATTCAAACTCACCTCAGGGAGGGAACCTCACAAATGAATAAAAACTTATTTGCATCAAGAATTTATTCTCAATGGATATGTAAATTATGAGAATCATTGGGTATAATGTAAAGTGGCCCTGGATAGATCTCATCAGTTCTTTTCCACCTCGTGGGATCACCCCCCAACCAAACCCCAATTAAATATTGAACTGTGTGTTTCCTTCACGGATGTTTGTGGATGTGAAGGGAGACCAAGGAGAAATAATTATTTATGTACAGAAATCAAAGGGACAAAATGTTTTGGAAACAATAAGGTTTCCTTTTCAGATTGTTGCAGGAATCACCCAGAGATCATCCTGAGAGAGATGAATTGCCTATCGATTGGTGTGTAGCTGGGAACAGAACAGTGGTGCAATTAGCAGGTCAAAGCTCGTTCACTAACAGGGCATGTGTTTGTTCTCTTCAAATCTCTCTGGATTGCGGTGGAGCAAAGGAAGTTTCAACTCTGACGCTTTCTATGTCTTCACCAAGAGTGGTCTGTTGCTCTCAACAGGTATACAGTGAAGAAGTGGCTCATTCCTCATTTGAAGAGCTGAATAATTTACAGTACATTTGCACCACATTTTAACTTTATTAACAAACTGACTATTCAGTTACAGCTCCCCTTACAGAGAGAAGGCGTATTCCATTCCAACAGTCTGTCTCTGGAATTTCCATGTTCTGGGTGGGTCGCATGGAAATGTCAACTTGGTTTGAATACTCTTAAGCATGTGTCAGACAAAAAAAAAGGCTCTTGGGACTGTGGACTTCACCACAAACTGTTGAAAGTGAGCCCGTGAATTCTTTTGAAAGAGATATCGGATAGATGTTGGGTAAAGAGATGTATTTAAGGGTGCGCGGAGTGAGCAGGAGAGAGATTTTGTCCTGTAAGACTCTATGAACCAACAAAATACACAGTCACTACACTTTACAGTAAATCCCACGAAGTGCATTGAGATTTCCTCCCAATGTGATAAGCACTGCATCAAATGTGATTTTTATCATTGATTATTTGAAATCCGCTTTCAAAAAATTATTATTATTAAAAAAAAACGAGGTCTCAGATGAAAGAGGGAATCTTTACATTTGTCAGCAGATGGCAGAATAGTCCAGCTCTATCAAATAAAATCTCCCTCGCTGGCTCTCGCCCACTAAAAAATTACATTCAGTGACCGAAATTAAAAGATAAATGTCACTTGCATTTTATCAAACACATCGAGGTGAACTTAGATTTTCTGTGGCAATAACAATGCCTGAGATTTTATTTTTATCTGAATTATATGTTAACTGAATATTTGGAGTTAGACTGAGAGTTAACACAATGTTAAATAATATTTATGGTAATAGTAATCCTTGCATTTGATATGCCTTTATATCCCATAAAATATACAGTCAATTCACTTTACAGTGTATCCTGTGAAGCGCTTTGAAACCTTTCAATGAGGTGATAAGGTGCTAAATCAAATGCAAGGATTATTATTATTATCATGTCGTTGTAACGTCCCAAAGTGCTTTACAGCATATACTGTAAAGTGGAGTGACTGTGTTTTCTGGGCGATTTTCACCGTGCCTTGTAACAGAAGTAACTAAGATTAGTTTTGTTTGATTATGAACAATAATGAATGACATTGATCGTGAAGACTTTCCTCTCCCATTTGCAATGAAGGGACAATTTCTGAAGTGGTCTGTGCAGTTTATAAGCTGCATTACATAACTTACGTTACAAAAATGGTATTGTAATGGAAAACCCACTGTTATTAACAGGCGCTAAACTATTCCATGAGGATTGCGGTCAAAGTTGAACGCGACACCCAGTAAAACCTATAGTGTAATTTGCTCGACTTCGGTAATGAATACAAATGCAACCAATCAACGGCATCTGAACAAAACAATCACAAGGTGCCAATTATTCACCTATTCCACATAGAAAATGCAAAATATGCTCTCGCACACAAGACTAGCGAGAGAAACAATAGATAGATTTATACATATTTTAAAAATCTTGTACTCTTGCGACCTGGCTTTTGGGCTGCGGGTGTGGGGTGCGGAATAAAAAGTGGTGGATCCAATGATATTGATCATTTGAGTACAGAATAGACCTGGGATTGGGTGGAAGACGTGGAACGGTTTAAGAGAGGAAGCATTAGATTGGGATTGAGGATGGAGGGAAATCGCTGACCATGGTCCTGATTCTACCAATTCCCAGAAATACATTTCACATTTGTCGTATGTTAGATTTCCTTTCGCCCCCCTTCTCCTCTCTCCTCCTATCTCTCCCCATCTCTCCCCTCCTCTCTCATCCTTTCTCTCCCCATCTCCCCCACCCCCCCCTCTCTGCATGTCTCTCCCTCTTCACATATTTGTTCCCTGTATCTCAATGCAAATGTCTCATGATCTCTGCATCAATGTCTCACTTCATTCCCAGCCTCGTTAGCTCCTCTCTACATCTGTCTGTTCGAATCTGTCTCACAATCTGCTTCATTTGGCTCAGTCTCACCCTCTCTATTAGCTGCTTGACAGTCTCTCAGCATCTATCCTTCTCTTATGCATCTCTTTCTCTTTCCTTCTCTCTCTCCTAGCTCTGTCTCCCTCCCTCCCTCCTCCCTTCATTCATTCATTCATTCATTAATTCTCTCTCTGCACATCTTTGCCCCTCTCCCCAGTCTGTCGATATTGCTATCTCGCAGTATGCTCCCCCTGCATATCTCTAACCCCTTCTCTCTCTCTTTCTCTCCCTTTATCTTGGTCTCTCTCTCTCTATTCCCCTAGTTTCCCTCTTTATATCAGAGACGAGGGAGAAGCAAGACTTGGGACACTGCATTGCGCGACCTCATTGTTTGAAGGTGGCTCATTACCAAACCAATATATTGACTTATTTCCCCCCCCCACCCCCCCACCTCTATCTCTCTTTCCCTTTAACAACAGGCTCCATTCGAGTCATCAACAACACACCTCCCCCTTTCAATAGAGCGCAACAGGAATGCTAAAACCAGGGCAAATACACATAAGAATGTGGGCTGGAGACCTTTTGGGGGAATGGGTTTGGGTTTGGGTTGGGAAGTGGTGGGTGGGGGTTGATTGGGGGAAAAAATGTGGAGGGGGGGGGGCAACTGATTGAAAGAATAGCCCATGTGTGTTGGGCAAGAAAGACCCCATTGGCTTAATTGGGAGTCAAGGAACCCCTTCTCTTATCTAAGGCAGATTCCTGCACACTAGGGACCAAGTCTACAATATATATTGGATTGGACCAACCCTCCCAGCTATAGACATCATTCATTCTACGCCAGTGCCAGCCAGAGTCTGGTCTGATTTGCTTTTTACTTGTTGTCGAATATTTCTGTTTGTTTATTTATTTATGTATTCATTTTTTTGGGGTCGGTTTCAAATGGTCACTATATATATATATATATATCGTTCTGCATTCATTTAATGTCAGGGATCAATCTCCCACCTCATCTCAACGTTATTAAACTTTGCAATTTCAAAACACAGGGTAAAATATCTCTGCTTCCTAGAATATTGCACCTTTCTTCTGCAATGCCACAGAGAGTGTTGAGAGAATTTGGATCATGAGAGAGAATTCCCTCCTAACCATCCCACCACCCCCCCCCCCACCCCCCCACTACCAAAAAAACAAACAAAACCTTTTTAGATTTTTTGAACCAAATAATATAAACATGTGGGATATTTCCAAATCAATGAGGGTATCCAGTATTGGGTGATAATCCAATATCACTCACTGCACAATCAATCTCGAAAATATAATGTATATATACACACACACACACACACAACATAATGTTCATAGTCAAATACATTAATCATTTAGCAAAGTGTGGGGGGGGGACACACCGAAGAGATTAAAACAGCCCCTCCACCCTCCAGTACAAAAAAAAAAGATGCATTTGATGTCCAAGTTAACCAATTCTAAGAAAAATGCAGTAAAGCCTGGAATGAAATCGACTTACCGTTTTAAGATACAGCTTTCTTCTGGGTTGCAATCGACAAAACTAATGCTCCCCACCCCACACACACACCCTCCCCACACTCACCAATCAATTCCTACAAAGTCCTGCAAATATCATTTAATGTCTCTCTCTCTCTCCTCTCTGTGTAAAACAAATCACAGGGAAGATTTGATCTCTCTCTCCTCTCTCTCTCTGTGCACCCCCAAACCCTGCACCCACCCACCCACCCCCTCCTCCTTTTTTTTTTGCACTGCAGATGAAAGCAGGCAATGTTAATTAAAATAGCCCGACAAATTATATAACTGCAGAGCCTCTTTGAGCAAAAGCTGCTGGCAATTGTAACACTATTGTCTTTATATATTGCAGACCCCCCCCCCCCAAAAAAAAATGTATATATTATATACAATAGATGGACTTCTGATGAGTCCTGTGCACATCTGACACAGTCTCTCCCCCCTCTCTCTCTCTCTCTGTCTGTCTCTGAAACGCTGGTAGCCTTTTGGATGATGTTCTGGGGGAGAGCTCCTCCACTTCTTTGCTGTTTGAAATCGAGATTTTGGGTTTATAAATAACCTCTTTTTTCTCATTTGTCCAAAGAAACGCGATTGCGTGTGCGTCACCAGCGTCATCCCCAAAATAACCACGTAAATACTGGGCTGTGTGAAGTCTTCCTCTCTCCCCATCCACCCCTCCCTCCTCTCCCACCCACCCAGACAACACCCATCACCTGAAATTAATGCTGACAGTAGTTATTACAGAGCCTGTACATGTATGCAACATGCACCATGGATGGATGGATGGATGGATGGATAGATAGATAGATAGATAGATAATATATGATTTTGCCCACAAAATACACAGTCAATTCACTTTACAGTGTATCCTGCGAAGCGCTTTGAGACGTCTCGAAGACGTGATAAGGCGCTGTATCAAATGCAAGGGTTATTATGACGATGATGATGATGATGATGATTGCAGTGTTGAGCTCTTAAAAGGTTAATTGGAGACCTGCTCTGTAACTGATCTGTCTACCGGTGTGCAATCATTCGTGTGGATCACCGTGGTAGGGCACCTCGGTGTGAAAACATGGCTGACGGATCCTTCCACGCATGCTCTCTGGCCTCTTGAGTCAGAAGGATGGGGGTTCAAGCCCCCATGTCGGGTGATTGGAATCACATAGTCTAATCTGACGCTCCAATGCAGTGCTGGGGGGGGGGTGGGGTGGGATTGCATTGTCCTTCAGATGAGATGTTCAACCGAGGTCCCATCTGCCTGTTCAGGTGGAGGACGTTAACGATCCCATGGCACTATTTGAAAACCGTATCCTGGCCAACAATTCCCCAGATAAAATTTGCTCATTTGTTTCATGGCTCTGTGTGGGACTTTGCCTACAAATACAGTCACTCCATTTCACAGTAAATCCTGTGAAGATGTCTTTCCGACGCGATAAGGCGCTGTACCAAACGCAAGGATTGTTATTATTAAAATTCCTCCCCTTGTTCAATTTCCCTCCCCCTCTCTCCTGCCACCACCCTCCCCACATGACCACAGGGAAATCAATTGCAAATTCTATGTGATCATCCTTGGGTTGGATTGATGTTGTAAAAAAAACCCTCCGGGTCTTGACAGAGTAGCGTTAAATATTCACACAGAATCCCACATAGAGTGACATAAGCTGAGTTTCGTCCTGTCACTACAACCTCTCAGCCATTATCTTGATGTTAAATGGCTTTTTTTTTACACAACCGGACAAGTGGGATGCCGAGCACACTCTTGTTTATCCAACGTCCTTTCATTTGGGTAATTTATTCAGGTGTGTAGATGAGACTTCATTTCCTACTCCACTCACATGTTCCAGTTAATCCTCCAGAAATAGTCTCTTTCAATACTTTGCCACAGTACTAATGCAAATTTGCATTGCAGTGACTCACCAGCAGTGTAAATATAAACACGTCGTCGCTCGTGTAAGGCTACAAGCTGATGAAAGCTTTTCTTTTCTTCATCGTCTTCTGACAGATAACGTTATCCAGATGTAGGGTTATCTCCCTCTTCAGTGAGGAGCCTCAGACGATGCTCAAACTCCAGGTTGACAATTCACCGAGGAGCTGAGTTTTTCAATCTCTGTCTGTGACTCATCCTGAGGATAATAATATTTCCCGAATGGGTGGTTTGGGAAGTAATGGGAAGGTCTTCATGGAATCGTAGAAATTCACAGCACACAAAACAGGCTGTTTGGTCCATTCAGTCTACACTTTCAATCTCTGCCTTATCCCCAAACCCCTTCACAGCAGAGTGTGCTATCACGGAGCTAGTGTGTCAGCCTGGCACAGTGGTAGTGCTCTCACCTCTGAGTCAGAAGTTTGTGGGTTGAAGCCCCACATCGGGACTTGGAATCGCAGTCTAAGCTAATACTGAAATGCAGTGCCAGGGGTGTGTTGCATTATCAGGGGTGCCAGAAGAGACGTTAAACCGTCTGCCTGTTCAGGTGGATGTTAAAGATCCCGTGACACTATTTGCAAAGAGAAGGGAGTTTCTCTCTCCCGGTGTCCTGGTCGACAATCCTCCAAATAGATAAAAAATGTTCACTCCATGGCTGTTTGTGTGACATTGCTGTGCGCAAACTGGCTGTCGCGTTTCGTATATCTGTAGAGGCGCTTCGAGATGTCTTGACGATGCGATAAGGCGCTTTACCAAATGCAAAGATTATTATAATAATAATAATAATCCTTGCATTTGATATATTATACTATTGTAGGTGCTATATCAAATGCAGATGAGAGTGCTACCCACTATGCCAGGCTGACAAAGCCTGGACATTCTTCATGTAGTGACTATTTAATGTCAGTGCCACCAACTGTACGATTGAGACGTCAGTCTGGATTTGGAGATCGTGCTGAGTTTTTGATGTTGCTCCCAAATGTCGACTCAATAGAAAGCTTTCACTGGTCCAACCATCACCCGTTGCCATTGTACGGAAAGCTTGAAAGTCGGTGCGTTCTATTGCAGTGAAGGAGCTATGCACCCACCTGCTGGGGGTGGGTGGGGGGTGGCTTAAAGACGTCTTTCATACCAGTAAAACCTCCTTCCTCTCCCTGCGATCTCCCGTGGATCCAGCTACTAAATGAATGTCTGTCCAGTTTTTTTGTATCACACAATAGATTATAGATGTGCGCAGGTGTCAGCGCTTGTCAAGGTTCAGATGGCTGTGTAAATTGCGAAGCTCAAATATTTATAAGCCACTCCTGATGCCAGAGATTGAATTACTTCTGCTACTCATTGTTGTATAACTAATTTATTAAGTGAAAAGGTTTTATTTTCTTCCACGGACGTCTTTGGAATCTGCCTCTGTTTCTGGTGGTACGTGGGAGGAGAGAACAATGTGCTGTCTTTTTAAGTGCTCCAAGGTAACAACTAGTCTATCTATAAATCAACCCGATGAGACCTTAGTCATCGTCATACTTGAAATATGATTTAAATGAACACTTTCTCACTAAATTCTCAACAATTCAAGCTGTCGTCAAGTACTGAAGAGTTACCTCTTTGACCGCGCTTTCGGTCGTCTCAGTCCTCCTCACCCTCTTCAGTCCTCAACACCCCGTGGATCGGGTGTCCAGTCAACAGTGCTTATAAGCAGTGTTTTGAGACATCGCCCTGATGTGAAAGGCGCACATTTTGGAATTTTATACAACTCAGCAATCATGCTGGGGATGTAGTGCAGGTCTGAAATATCACCTAGATCACTGGTGTGCATTGGTGCCTTTCATCCTAGCATAACCTCCTCCCTATCACTAGGACTATGGTCACCTCACCACTCCCCCCCCCCACTCCCCCTTCTCCCTTACTCAGCGTCCGCCCCAGCCACTTTGCAGTGCCTGAGATGCTACCCTGCGGGAAGGGCGCTATATAAATGCAAGTTGTTGTTGTAGTTGTTCTGCCCTTCCATGTACCAAAGCCACAAAGGAACGAAAGACCGCTCACAAGGCTGCTTCATCTTCAAATGTAACATCATGCAGAATTGTGGAATAAGGCGCTGTATCAAATGCAAGGATTATTATTATAAGTGTTGTAGAGTTGTCACGATCTGGAATGCACTGCCTTAAAGAGCGGTGGAAGCAAATTCGATAGTAGCTTTTGAAAGGGAATCGGACAGGGACTTGAAAAGGAAAAAAGGAAAAGGCTATGGGGTAAGAGCGGGGGGTGGGGGTGGGACTAGTGGTAGCTCTTTCAGGTATGATGGGCCGAATGGCCTCCTTCTGTGCGGTGAGATTCTACGCTTTCATATTTTTGTCTTTATTTATTCTGCAAATTTGGCACAGCTCCGCCAGGCAAAATCAGATTGAAAGAGCAACATCGGGCAAACAGACGGATTGCCTGTGTAGCTCCTGATCTGACACCATAACACAGTCACCAGAAATTGCCTCAGTGATTCTGAACTATAAACACATTTACAAAACCTCCGGCAATCTCACTGAGCAGCGAAGAGGCTGCACTTTCAACTGTGTTTTGCTTGCACTGTGCTTCCCCTCACTCTCTCAGCCAATTTCTAATCACCAACAGCGGCACAAAAGCTACTTAACTCCCAGTTGATAAAGACTGATTACAATATTCTCAGCACACCAGAACTGCTCAAGCTTTTGTCCGTACAATCCTCAGAGCGGGAATAAGTCTTGAGACGTTCCTCTTAATGTGAGGGTAAGTGTCTCTCTGAGTATCTTCAGAAAAATTATCTTTACAAAATTTATCTTCACATTGTGTCTTCCAATACCTTATGTCGAATTGGCTGTTTTTCAGGAACATAGTTTTGTAGAAACAAGGAAGCCGTTTAAGAGGAAATTGTAATGGGATAGTCTACCCTGAGTTAGCCTGCAGGACCAATAGTTAAGACAAGACAATTTCAGATCCGTGCAGCTCCTTGAGATTCATTTGAGGCATCAATGATAGCAACAACACCTTTCACGCGGGGCAGCACCTCGGAGCCCTAAACAGCGACAGAGCCTGATGCCGAGCTGGGAGGGGAGGATGTGACTAGGATGTGATGTGCACGGTCGAAGAGGAAGGTCTTCAGTCATGATCAGTTGAGTGGGTTAGAGCTCC